AAAACCCGAGGTTCTAACGTAACTCATCCGTGCGTCCTCTCTCTACGCGACGCAAAAAAGTGGCTCCTCCGATTACGAGGGACGAAAATCCGCGACGAGAAACTACGTGTAGATAGTTCTTTCTAAAAGATATACGAGAAGGCATTCTACAAGAGGCTCTGCAGGCCGCGACGAACGAGATGAATCAGAATCGCCGGCAAAGATGCGGATAGAGGCTTGTCGAGGCGTCGTTCCATCAAATGCTCCATTGTGCTAAGCCTAAGGGTCCTGTTACACTTGGCGAGTACTCGCTAGCAAACACTTGCATTTACTCGCTTCAAACTGCCAGCCATCTATTTCACGAATGGGGGATTTGCTTTTTTGAGCACCTGTGCACAATATCGATCATATGAAATAAGCAAAGATCATGGCTGCCCGTCGAAAGTTGAAGTTCTCATCAGTCACCGAAGCCCACAAGGCTATGCCTTTCCGGGACATAGGCTCAGTCATTGTTCCGAAAGATTCCTGACATTATTCATATACAGGATGGCCCAAAAGTAGGTATACAGTATAGTTTATTTGCATTTTATTACATTGTTTATTACATTTACATTTGTTTAACACTGTTTAACCTCGTAAGTGCTCGAAATGTCTTCCATCAACGTTGCAACATTCCTCGAACCTGTCCAGAACACTGACACAGAAAAATAAAATAAAAATTAAAAAAAACTAAACTGTATACCTACTTTTGGGCCACCCTGTATACCCTGTGGAGGGATGCAGTCAAAATTGGTCTCCATATTTTCACTACTTCCCACGTTTGAAGACAGCTGACAGCAGTGACCTGAACCTAATTCCAAATTTCAAAATGCCAAAAACATCCGAATACTTGAAAATTGAAAAGTTACTTCGAAATCAATTTCAGTAAGCATGAGGAGTGTTTGTTTTCATGTTGCATGGAAGTTTGCGTAGTTAGGGTGTCTAAGTAACACTATTTCACAGTGGTATATCTCACCTGTGCTGGGACCTATAAGCACATATGCCTTAGTAAAAATGAAATGTAAAATTAAAATAATTGGGTCCTTCCCATCACTTGATATAAAATCAGTATCTATGTAGCCTATACCTCAGCTTCAGTACTTGCTCAAATGCAGAAACCTCATTCGAGAGCACTTTTTGCTAATGAGTTCCTTGTCCCCCATTGAAATCCATGGAATTTTATTTGATGAGGATGGGTGAAGGGACTGACGATGCGTACTGGTATGCACCGTCCCATTCTTTTTTGCCAAGCTATGGCCTGAACAGGCATAGGCTCACAGGCCTCACTTCTGGCTACGGCAGCAGAATTCTCGCTCAGAAAGGTCGACATGTCACTTAATGTGGATGGATTAAAAGGGAGCATTCGGAACTAATGGTGCTGTGATGGCGGCAAGGAAGGTCCTCTGCAATTTTCAGTCCTGTGATAGAGGAGGCCCATCAGAAAACGTGTCAGGTTCTGGGCTCATAACTGTCACCAAGACCAACACAATTTTAGTTTCCCTACGACAGCTATTGGGTCGGAAAAAAAGTCTTGCAATACTTTCTAACGAAGCCCTGCGGAACGCCCTCAACGCGAAGCCGAACGCCACCACTCGCAAATCGGCGACTACACTTGGAGTCACCCATATGGCCATCGGCAACCATCTGAACGACCTCGGCTATTGGAAGGTTTACTCGACATGGGTCCCTCATTGGCTCAGCAACTCTGACAAAGCAAGCTGTGTTAGTGTCTGCGAAATTAAATACGGTGCACAAGCTCCGTGATTGTGCAGAGAAAGAAAACGTCATCATAATACTTCACGGTTGAAGATGATTCCAGAGTATGATTCAGGGTGAGACGTCAGAGACGAATTCGCAAGCCGAAATAAGTTATAGCTTGCCGCTATCTTCTCTCACTGGCGACTTTTTCCGTTCGTTAGATAGCGAAGTGCCAACCGGGCCTCTGACGGTTGCCAGATGTGCAAGGGAGATATCTAAAGATTGGGCTAACATTGATGTATTCCTAATAAAGAGGGAAATGAGGATATTGTTTCATCATGGGTTCTAGGTTAACTCAATCTTATTCTTACCCAGCTAAGAATTATTTGCGATGAATAAAACCTCATGGTGACGTCATCCTGAGAAGAGCCGTTCAGACAGTCCTCTATCAGCCATGTTGGCGGCAAGATAGTTGTGCCGGCTCCCTACATCTTCCATTTCTTCTTTTCCAGCTGACTGCATCTCCAACTTGGTACCGTGAGTCGTAATGAGCCTGGTGCCGAAACATTTCTAGGCTATTTGGCTGCTCGTGTTAAACAGAAGTGGAAGTTTTGGTGAGAATTAACGGAGCAAGCTGTGAACTGAGTGAAGCATTCCATGTTATTTTCAGAGAGAACCTCTCCCAAGATTCAGAGTGGTCTCAAGTATACTTTAAGACATGAAGTGAAGTAATATGCTAAAGTAAGCCGAGTAGCGTTTACGTATTTTTAATCTGTGTAGGGGAAGGAAGTGAAGGTTGATTCCCATGCGCTACGTCAATAGCGAACACGTTTTAGGACAGCTGATGACGCACCAGAGATACGAAATAAATTTGAAGGCCAAAACTCACAAAAATGCACGGATCCGCACAAAGACAAATTTTGTTTGTGGCCCCACCGCGTTAAATAGGATTGCTTTAGCAACTCCACTTTTTTTTCAACACATAGGTTTTTAATTTACATTTTAACTTAAAACATTATCTGTAGTGGTGGACCTTGCCCATGCTTTGAACCGAAATGCACATATCCCTTGAGCTATACAATTGAATTTCTTCAAGACTTATGCTCGGGAATCTTCGACCATTCTCCGAAACGACTTTAATTTGTTTTTCAAATCTGATAAATACCGAGGTTAGAGCTAAAACACTTAATATGACGAGGACCTCGACAAATGTTCAGGCCTTCTGGGTTGAAGGAAGCTTCCAAAGTGTCAAGCTCAAGGGTGTGAACCTTTCCCAAGGCCAGAACATTCATCCATGTTTATATTTATGTCGTGGATATAAACACAGTGTAAACGCAATCCCCCATGGTGGTATCCTTCTGCGTCTTTTCATAGGAAATGCCGCACTCTTAGAAGAATATTATAATTAGTCAACTTGGCTTTCAACAAGTATCTGAAGTTCGTTTTAAAGTCGAGCTGAAAGTTGCTCATTAAATTAATTTATCGAGTTTGCAACACCATGTACATAGGTCTGCGAGGTCTTCCAATGAGTGAATGGAACGAAGCGACAACAGATTTACCAAGAATATTAAAAACAAGTCCCATATCATGAATAAAGAAAACCGTCAGTAGGGTACTAATCTTGCCTGGGACCAACTTTTCCTTAAGAAAAATCTCACACAAGAGGCGTAATATATTGAACTCCAGAAAACAGAACTTCCAAGCGAAGTTCGTTGGGGCATCCAACTACATGTTTTCTATATAATATACTGTATGGATGTATTTTCGATATACCCTCTCTCGTCATAATTGGTACTTCATGATATTGCCAAGCATGTACAGTGTGGTTCACAATTGCCTCCCCAAAAGTAAAAGCTTATTACTCAGGAAGTATGCATCCAATTTCAATGATGTGACTCAAACGATAACCAATATATTTTCATTTGAAAAAGTTCAGCATTCTTTAGGAAACTTTAAAAAAAAGTTCACCCTTACAAACGAAAGCCGCCAAATCATTAGTGCTCAATGTGACTTCCACAATTTTCAATGACTTGATGCAATCTCTGAAAGAATTCTGCTGGCATTCATAAAATCATCTCTAGGCCTACTGTGGCGAAGACATCTCTAATGGCCTGATCAGTTTATCTGGGTTGTCATATGTCCGCCGATGTATCTCTTCAGGTTCAGAAACCTCTTATGAACTGCCTTCATGATTTCATCAGGAATTGAGGCATTTGGACCCAAACTGAAAAAATTTCCATATTTTCCCCACACAAATTTGCTCTCTTCAAATTATCAAATAGCAATATTCATCTTCAGCAGGATATTGAGGTCACCCACAACACAGATAAAAAAAAAACACAAATAAATTGCAAATTTCAGAAGGTGTTATGGCATTTACAGGGCCTGGCTAAGTTTCACGATATGGGTACTCTAACACATTGGTGACGGGCCCCGTCACCAATGTGTTAATGGAATGCTGAAATTTTCCACAGTAAAAATATATATTGAATTGGCTATCGTTTGAGTAACTACTAATACTCTAATTCGAAGAGATCAAAATTTGCAATGGTGGTGGTCGTGGCTGTCACTCCCAACGCGCGGGCCTACGATGCAATGCCTTTCTGGGTCATAGGCCAGACCATCCGCGGCCTAAAGCGCCTGGCCTACAAGGCTACGCCTTTCCAGGCCATCTTATATTTTACTTCGAAGAGCTCGAGAGTGGTGGTAGTTATCACTCCCAGCTTGTGAGGCCTACGAGACTGTGTCACTCCAGGCCATATGCTGGGCCATCCACCCCTCAAAGCGCCAAATCCTTCAGGCTATGGTATTCTAGGCCATAGACTGATAGACTTGGCCATCCAACGCTTTTAGCGCCAGGTATAAGTTAAATCGGTCTGAGCTATATCAGTCTGAGACATAGGCTACATACTTAATTATCAATCAAAGAGTGGTCATAACTGACTGCGTGTTGCGTTTTCACTAATCGACTGCAACTGCTCCATTTGAATACATTTTTTGCTAAAGTGTTTTTTTTTCTGTATTTACTTCCGTTAGGTCAGGCGTGGCGTTTTGGACATCGCTTACATGCAATAGTTTTCTGTTTGCATTTCATGTCATGGCCAATTTTATTTGAGTTCTCACGATTGGTGAAATCAAAATAATAACGTAAGTTCTTTGTTTCATACGTCGCGCAAATGGGCAGATCCTTTCATCAAAACAGTGGCGATTTTTGCGAGGTGAGGCTGAACGTGAAAAAAAAAAGTTGAAAGTGGTCCCACAGGCAGTCGCTGCAGATAATTAACGATTGGTGCTGGCGCGGAAACAACGTTTCCCACTGCGGTTGCGGTGCGAAGTGCCTAAATCGGTGCTTTAGGAGGTGCTAGCCATAATGGCTAGAATGACTGATGAACAGTACCCAGTTGCACGTAGGGAGCGTAAGGCTGAATAGCAAGAGGTACCGAATGCTGAGCTCAGGAAAAGGCAGCCTGCTGGGCAACTTGATGCAAGGAACGCAGCACTCGAGTGTCGAAAGCCAGGGGGCAGCTAGGAATTGAACCCAGACCTCTTACTTGCCGGTCAGGTCTGCTACCATTACACCATGGTACTCGGGACCATGAGGCCTCTCCAAGTCATCCCAAATCACGAGTTATTTGTACTGCGAGCACTGTCAGGCTATACATTTTGCTACGGGGAGGGGAGATTTGTTTCACATTGCTGCCACAACGGAAAAGTGCTTCTGCTGCAGCTCACGCTGTTGTTCACTGGTGCCAATGTGGAGGCGAGGCATTTTCAGGAATTATTCGTTAGTATTCTGCTGCACATGCGCTAAATTCGAACAAGTTCTTGAAAATGGTCCGTACTGTTTTAGAATCAGTAGTACCTGTACCATGAGCTAATCGATGATGCAAGAGTGTTGAATGTGCTCGAAAAAAAGTTGTGGTGGTGGCTATTACCGCAACGCGCGAGGCCTATGAGACTCGATCACTTTAGACCAGCGCCAGGTCCATAAGGCTATGCTATTCTAGGCCAAAGGCTTGGACATCCATCGCACTTAGCGCTTGGTCCGTTGGGCTATATCAGTCTAAGCCATAGGCTTTGGTTCTTTGTATTATTTCCATAGGCTTCATACTTAGCTGTGTCAAGCAAAGGGTGGTACAAACTCTGCGTGTCACGTTTTCGCTGATCGACTTTAAGTTCTCTATTTGAATGCGTTCTTTGTTGATATATATTTTTTCCTTCGTTAGGTCAGGTGCGGCGTTTCGCGCCATGGCTTCCATGCAATGGTTGTCTGCGTTTCATGTCATGGCCGATTTATTTGAGTTCTCATTATTGATGAAGTCAAAATAATAGTCTAAAAAAAGTCTCTGCTGCATATGTTGCGCAAAGAAGGTGCATCTCCCATCAAAATTGTGGCAATTTTTGCGAGGTGAGGTTGAACGCGAAGAAGAAATGTTGAAGGAAGTCCCACAGGACGGCGATGAGGCATTTGTTGCTGGTAAAGCACGGTTGGTGCTGGCGGGGAAATAAAGTTTGCCACTGCATTTGCGGTGCGAAGTGCCTTTATCGGTGCTGGCCGTAATGGCTAGAATTAGCAATGAACAGCAAGCAGATATGCGTAGGGAGCGTATGGCCGCTTAGACCGCTGAACAGCAAGAGGCAGCGAATGCTTAGCTCCGGAAAAAGAGAGCCGTGCAGTTTGTTGAGCAACTTGATGCAAGGAACGCAGCACTGAGGTGTCGAAAGCCGGGAATTGAACCTGGACTTTCTGCTTGCCTGACTGGCAAGCATTGTTACATTGCACGTGCTACCATTACACCACCTCAGAACATTTTGTTATGCCTCTTCCTGTCATCTCAATAATTACAATCGTTTGTCACAGCGAGCACTGTCAGGCTGTACATTTTCATGTAGGGAGAGGGCATTTGTTTCACATCTCAGGCACAACGGAAAAATGCTTCTGCTATAATTCGCACTTTACCCTGAGGCTCTGAAGGTGTTGCTCACTGATGCTAATGTGGCAGTGAGGCATTTTTAGGAATTCGTCGCTAGCATTGTGCCACACATGCGCAAACTTCCTTCTGTGCCGTCGAACAAGTTCTTGGAAATGGTCCGTACTGTTTCAGAATCATTGGTGTCTGTACCATATGCTAACGTTAAATGCTCATGAGCTAACAGGTGAGGCAAGAATATTGAGTGTGCTAGGAAGACTAATCAGGAAAGTCGTCTTAAGTCTCATGAAAACGTGCTAAACCGCAATGGCAATTGTGGCAATCAGCTGGAATATCATGATGAATGTGTTTAGGAACAGAATCTCCCTGTGTATTGTAAGCTGTGTGTATAAATGTAATGAAGCGGTTCAGTTCCGAATGGGAAATGCGATTAACAAAGGATTGTGAAGGAGACGTTATGCTCACAATAGACGATTCAATTTTCTACCTATTAGACGATCAGCGTAGTGGCCGCAGGCCGCTAGTATAACATTGAAATTGGATGTACACTTCCTGAGTAATGAGGTTTTTACTTTTGGGTAGACAATTGTGGACCACCCAGTACATGCTGTATCATATATCATGAAACAGAGAGGGAGAGCCATGGGCGTTGCCTCGCTAGGCCATAGTACCCAATGACTTCTGACATGATACACCCTGTATATTTATAAACGTTTAATCCGTGTGAGGGAGGGGGGTCTAAGTTAGACTGCACACGTTCGGTCAATAATGCCCAAGTTTCATGATACCAGAGGTACCAATCAAATATGTATCACAAGATTTTCACCAAAGTTCATAATGCCGCACACGGGGACAAGTTCTTTTATTACACATTTCTTTCAAGCAATATATTGTAACAATGTTTACATAATCTTTGCCAATCATGTAGATAGTTGCACGGTGTTTTTTTGTAACCCAGACCCATGAACATGTGTATTTCTTTGGATTGACGTCAGATGGCGCCGCGTTATTTACTAGGGCCTAAGCCGGTGACTTATGTCTAATATCTGATGTGTAGAGGGAAGGATGGGCCCCCATGTACCACTCTTATGTCGGAAGTCAGGAATGTTTCCTCCGGCATCCTGAAGGAAGTTGTTTAGAGGTTAAGCGCGAGGGAATAGTGCACAACACCCAGAGAGGTAGAGCCGAGCGGGCATGACTACCCGAGCAGGACCTTCATGATAGTTACGATCGTTTCAAAACAGTTGGCAACAAACGGAAATTATTTATGAATTGACCTGATAAAAGAGTGGAAGAAAAGAGGTGAACGAACACCTATGACAGGGTAACTAACATTAATGCACGCCTTTTTCTTCTCATTATATCTCGTAGCTGTATTTCAAGTCCAGGTATTATTGCACAGGGTGTGCCAACACTCGTGTAGTACTGAATTTGGTTTATAGAATGTAGGCATGCAAAATTCACCGGATTCCCCTTGTTGGAATGTGCCTAATGGGAATTTCACCAAATGCGCCAAACTTCGGAGTTATGACTGAGGAATGTCAGCTGCAAGATAATTCTCTGACTTATTGGTCTGAAGATTATCTTGCCTGGAAATTGGATGAGGTAGATTGCTATAGAAGAATAGCATTGCATGGAAGGGGAGAAAGATGATCGGCTTACATGTAGTCTGAGCACGCCCTCTCTCTCTAATGCCTGAGTCGCCACCACCCGCAGCAAGGGATAGATAGATCGAGGCAAATGTACGACGAAAAAAATGCGATGAGACCTGTGCCCAGAGAGCTTCTCAAACGGATCATTCCTGCAAAGTTTCAGCGTCTCTCCGTTTTGCTGAAGTTATAAAATATATTCATGTACGTCCCCTAAGAAAAGTGCCGCAGGATAAATGCCTCAAAACTTTCCAATAGCTACAAGTTTCTACCAAGCCTGCTTGGATTGTGATTATACATATACAGTGTATCCTTGGGCGTTTGTATCTGCAACTACCATGTGCGCCGCCTAACGCTACGCTAAGCGATAGTACATACAACATCCCCCCTCCCCATAGGCATGGGACCCGGGACAAATTGCCCCTTTTGCTTCTCCCCCCTTCTCTACAGTCGTAAACATTGACTGAAGTGGATTCCTGACTGAAACCCTTTGAACACAATATGCGGCAACAGCCCCCTCTCCCATTCCCTGAGATTGATCCGACAGTCGCGAGACGCTCGAAAGAAACTGCTCGCTCCAGAGCGAAAGGGAGACCTCCATGGAATCCAGGTCGGCCTTGGCTAAACGTGTGGCATTTTCGGGTATTCATAAGTTCGGTCCAGCGCTCTACATCTATCCAAGCTTTACGCAGCATCCCCCCCCCCCAACCCAAGAATGAGTCCCTCACGCATTAACCAGAGTCCCTATGCGATTGAGGAGAGATGTGCCACATTCACTCCTCAGTCCATTCGCCCACATCGATTACACTGCATAATTTATGCATGAATAGGGTTCAATCCATTTCTACGGACTGGAGCGAGGCTATTTACAGCAGTGTTTTCTAAGCGTATAAGAGGAAGCAGTGACTTGTGCCTATAGGACGTACTCAAACTTTCTTCGTCAAATACAGTGCACTCAAATATGTGTGTGGGGGGGAATGAGTCAAGTATAAAGTGGGGGTATAGCGCCATTTCCCTTAATCAAAAAGTGAACGAACACTCCTGCCTTTTTCTCTCATTGATATATTCATTCTTATTGGTCGAGGTGGCGGATGAAGAAGATAAGTGACGAAGCGAAAATGCATGATAAGGCACCCAGAGTTGGATCGCGGGAAATTAGTCCTACATACAGTAGCTAAGAACGAGATCAATATAAGACGTGAATCGAGGCTTAAAATCAGTGGTTGTTACGTGGTCGTATTGTTTTGGCTGGGCACTTTAAACAAAATCCGAGTGTTTTGAGCGTGAAGGAGGAGGTTTGGGCTTGCAAGCCCCCGTTTTACTCTCCCATTTCTGAGGGATAGCTCCCTTATCGTACGTGTTTCCTCGAGCTTCCGTCGCTATCTCGCCTTCCAGGAAAGAACTAAAAGCATTGTCAGACATGCTAGATGGCTCCGAGTGGCTGTCATGGCAGCCAACCATCGGTATTCGCAATGTGCCGCAGAGTTTGTTCGGCTTTCGGTTCAGCATGCATGCTTTACATTTCGGGTCAAGGAATATTTCTGCCCACATTGCCATGTCGAGTCCAATCCAGTTTAATATCGAAATTTTCGTATTCTCATTTCTTCGTATTCTGTATTTGACAAGATTGCAGACATATTCTAGGCTTATCGAACTGCATTTCGGTTGGCCTGAGATTATTTTGTACAATAAATTTAGATTTTCCTTATTCGTCAGATTGACGGCTGATTTCAGAGACAATCTCTGAAACGAGGAAGAACCCGCAGCTTTCAGTTTTTTATTCTTGCCAAAATATTCCAATTTTCTTTTCTTGTGGTGCAATTAAAAATGTAAACAATATGACAAGTTTATTGGCATGCACTCCATGCAGTTGCATTAAATAATGCCTATCTCACACACGTGCACTCGACACCCACTATCTTCTGTGTGATGGTGGAGATCCACATGCTATCTAATAATTTATTTCGAAGAGGTCAAAACCCTGTGGTACTAGTGGTCGTGGCTGTCACCCCCAACGCGCTGGCCTACAATGCAATGCCATTCGGGGTCATAGGCCAAACCATCCACGCCTATCACTCTGAGCCATAGGCTCCGTACTTAGTTGTGTCAACTTTTTTTCCGCCAGGTCAGGCATGGCGGTTCGGGACATCAGTTCCATGCAATAGTTTTCTGTTTGCGTTTCATGTCATGGCCGATTTGAGTTCTCATGATTGCGCGACATATGAAGCAGAGCCTATTATTTTCACTTCGTCAAACCACGTGCACCTCCCATCAAAATGGTGGCAACCTTTCTGAGGTGAGGTTGAACGCGAAGAAGAAATGTTGAAGGTCACACATGACAGCGATGAGGCAGTTGTTGCTGGTAAAAAACGGTTGGTGCTGGCAATGCTTTCTCATAAGTAGTTATCCTATGTATTGTGACGGATGAGGATGACATCGGGAGACTCGACTGTATGTCTAGGGTTCGGTGGTGTAGTGGTAGCACACCTGACCGGCAATCAGAAGGCAATCAGCTGGAATATCATGATGATGGTGTTTAGAAACAGAATCTCACTGTGTACTGTAAGCTATAAGTGCATACATGTAATGAAGCGGTTCAGTTCCGAATGGGTAATGAGGTGAACAGAAGATTGTCAAGGAGACGTTAGCTCACAATAGGCGATTCAAATTTCCAACTATTAGAGGGCCAGCGTAGCGGCCGCAGGCCGCTAGTGCTATCTTGAAAGCGATTGTACGTGCCAAGTTGTGCTACTTTTAGAAGAGTGATGCAGGTCGCTCAACCTTTCAATGCGATCATTGGGGAAAAAAGAAACAGCAGAAGCTTGTCCAATATCAGGTTTCACGGATTGAAACTTGAGATGAAGAACAAAAGGTGCAAATTTAACTCGTGAATGAGACCCCTCGCATGTAAACCCCTTATTGGCGCGGTGGTATATTATTCTCATCAATTCATAAATACTGTTACGGAGGGGAGGTGGCAGACGGACGATGGAAGGCATGAGAGGTCGAAAGAAGCCAAGGAACGGCCGGGAATTGAACCCGGGCCTTCTGATTGCCGGTCAGGTGTGCTACCACTACACCACCGAACCCTAGACATACAGTCGAGTCTCCCGATGTCATCCTCATCCGTCACAATACATAGGATAACTACTTATGAGAAAGCATTGCCACTATTGCGCCAAGCAACATAAACTTCAAACAGCCTTAGCCGAACACTGCAACCTTATTTAAAATGAGGATAGACTTACCAATAAGGTTATGGAAAGAATGACATTCGGAAAGGGGCGTAGGGGCTAGCTTGCTCTGCTTCAAAAATGAGCACCTATTGTACATTGTACGCGGGAAGATGGTCTTAACATTTACCAGAGAATAAGTGGGAGTACGGTGCCCCCTCTCACCCAATAAAGAATATAAAATATGTTATCCCCCTGTAATGTATGACCCACAGTTTAACAAGAATCCATTTTTAATGGCAAGTGCACTTTTTGGGCACAGAAAAGTGTCTTGTGTAAGGCAAACACATGCGGTAAAATGAATGGAATGCAGAGTCGCGCTTTCGAGTCCTTCGAATCCTATTGAAACTTAGTTGAGCCACTTGTATAAAATCGTAGAGATAATCCAAAGTATGCCGCCTTTCAGGACCAAAAGGAAAATCACTTGAAGGCTTTAATTGAGTTAACGAATTTTTTCATCAATTTTTTCCAGAGTGATTCAAGTCGCGATACGACTCATTTCTTTCTCCATTAATCTACGACTCTATAGATTTCAGTCCTTGACTTGGACATTGCACGATGGCTGACTGGTACGCAACGGCCCTGAAAAACGCCAAGTTCAAGGCCTTGGACGAGAACAAGCCATTAGATGCACCCGATTTCCTCGCTCAGCTGCTTCAGAAAGACCTCATCACGAAAGTGCAGGATATGGAGCTGAAAGCAAAATCGACATACAGGGATAAGATTGACGGAGCCTTCAACGTCCTCTTTGTGAAAAATCCCGAACCGACATACATCAAGCTTCAAATGATTCTGAAGGAATTGAATAGGGAAGACATCATGGATCAGGTACCCCTATTATACCTATTACTTTTGTACGTTGTATCGTGTGCTACCCTCACTCCACATAATGAAGTATTCACACCAAAGCAGTATCCACTTCACAATGGGGTTCACTTCGTTCTGTGTGTGATGGTGTCACAAAAACGAAACTGGTAGTGAGAATAACTTGCGATAGCATCCAGGTAAGAACGGCCAAATTTCGCGATGTATTGTTCTCGCTTTCGTGTATTCTCATCACGTTGATTGCAATCACCAAATCTAGGAACAAATGTGAAATGCTTCTCGTGGATGAAGTAATCGTTCACTCCCGTTCTTGACAGTAAATGGACAACTATATATAGACATTGGAACACTTGTGGAGTGAGTGGTGCTGTGCATTACTTTCGGCTGAAGCAGAATTAGTACTAAAGATGGAGCAGATGGTTGAAGCAAGAGCGAGAGGGAAAGAGAGAAACAGAAAATGCAACATCGCTGGAATGGTTCTTACAGAGAATGCTAATCAACAGCGGAGTTCCTAATTTTAACGTCTCGCGGAAAGGAAGCGAACCCTATTCTACGCTCTACTGTACAAGTGCTAAGTTAATTTTTTTTCTTGCGAAAAATATATAATTTCACTTTATATTTTATTTAGTTCGAAAAAAAAAGCTCTCTTCCGAAATGGAATGCAAAAAGTTCAACTCTTCGTATCCATGCATTCGTAGAAGCGGCGCTCCATCAATCCTTCTAATTTATCGCAAAAAGGCTGTTTTTAGGGCTGCGTTCTTGAAATCATGCGGCAGCTGACCAAAGAGAGCCTCATCGCAAATGTAGCTTCTCCGAAATTCCCAACAGGTGGGGATCAAGTCGGAATTGGACGTGGAGACTCATGCCCAGTACCTGGCACAGCAGGCCATGAACACGGGAATCAACTACGAAGCCATGGCAGAACAAATCGGGAGGGCAATGAGCGTTGCACACGGAGGGATTTGGTGCTGTTTGGTCGTCGAAGGGACGTGTGGCTGTTTTGTCGGCGAAGACGTCAGGAGCAGGATCACCTTCACCCTAGATGATAAACACATCATAATTTGGGAAAGCGCGTCGCATTAAGCAATGATGGCTGGAGACTTATAGAGTATATGTCTCATGAAGAGTAAACTGAAGAGAGATAGAATATATGTCTCATGAAGAGTAAACTGAAGAGAGACAATGAACTCATTCCTTGATCCAACTTTGGGAACTCCCACCAATTGTTAAAATACTCATCCCGTTTTGATATTTCACACCAAAGAAAACGTTTCGTTTTTCCATCTGGTCCAAGTGAACGACAAAAAATGGGTATAGCACTACCTCAAGGTAGTACATGTTGTCTCTCTGTTACACTCTACCAGGCAGTGAATATATACGACAATGCAATGCACCGACACAAAGTGTAGCTACCGTGGTCGGATTGCAGCACCAGGCCGCACCTCAAGGCGTGCCGAAAAAGTCCAGATCTATTGACCCTGACTTTTTCGGGTTTTTTTTTGACAAACCAGATTTCGCTAGCACACGGACAATGATTAAGTTCTCATTATAGCCAATTCAATATATTTTTTATCGTAAAAACATGCAATACTTTCTATCAAACTGAAACGAAGTTACATCCTTACGAACGAAAGCACCAAAATCACCATCAATCACTTTCAATAAGTGTTCAATAAGACATCCACAATTTGCAATGACTTTTTGCAGTTTCTCGTTGAATGCCAACAGACTACAATCATCTGTTCCTACTGTGGCAAATGCATCTCGACCGGTTTCAGCATATCTAGGTAGTCATAGGTTCGCCGATGAATCTCTTCAGGTTCAGACACCTCTCATTAACTGCTTTCATGATCTCTTCATCAGGAACTGAGGCATTTGGACCCAAACTGAAAAAATTCCCAATTGTTCCCAACAAAAATTTTCTCTCTTCAAATTATCTAACCAAATGGCAATATTCATCTTCTGCAGGGTACTGCGGTCACCCATGATGCAAACAATCCCTCGCAATGGATGAAAAACCCACGAATGAATTCCAAGACTCAAGATGAAATAGCAGAATTTCAGAAGGGATTGTGATATTTACAGGCTTTAGTTTTACGATATAGGTACTATCATATGTTATGGTGTAATTTTGTTCTTCAGGGTGTCCCATAAGTCTGGAACCATAGAGCAAAATGATAACGACTTGTATTCACAGAATGTGTTCACCATTATGATTGATACACAAATGCAGACGAGGTCCAGTCAGCAATCACACTTCGAATGGTGTCAGGATTGATGGTGTTTCGTGTTACTAGTGATGATGCGCTCCCGCATATGTGCAGCACTCTGAATTTTCTCCGCGTAGACCAACACCTTCAAGTGACCCCAGAGATAAAAATCCAACGGGGTGAGATCGGGGCTCCTCGCCGGCCACTCCACACAGGCCCTCCTCCTATTCAATGACCAGGGAATTGCCGGTGCAGCCACTCTCTTACGCGGAAGGTGTAATGGGCGGGAGCGCCATCCTCCTGGAACCGTGTTGGGAAATCCCCATCTGTGTTCAAAGCACTGGGGAATGCTTCCTCGTTGAGCATACGCAAACAGGCGTCTTCTGTGACTGTGCCTTCAAAGAAGGCCTACGATGCGGTCTTTCCAAATACCACACCACATCATTACACGAGTGACAGCTTCTTTTGAAGATGTAAACCAGTGAGGTTGTTTTTCGACCAGTAACGGACGTTTTGTCGGTTCACCTCACCATTTGCGTAAAAAACTGATTCATCGCTGAACAGAATGGTGGACGGGAAGTTGGCATTTTGAGCACATTGTTCCGTAGCCCATTCAAAAATCTCCAGCCGTTGGTCCTGATCAGCTTCGCTTAATTTCTGCAAGATTTGAAGGATGCGGTGGAAGCTGCTTTTCGACGCTCCTTTCTCAGCGGACAACCGCCGAAGAGACTCTTGGGGTTTTTTTTATGAAACAAGCTTGGATGGTAGTGGCTGTGTCGACGTCGGTGGATGTCTTCGGAGGTCCACTGCGTGGATTACCTCCTACATACCTCCACTCATTTTACTCTATGGTTCCAGACTTAGTAGTTTCTGATAGAACTAGCGGCCTTCTACCGGAAAAAGTTTAAGAACAATCTAAACCAGGTTCCCGCTTCCAAAACCTGATCTACAGTTCATGATGCAACTCATATACATCATAGAGAGGCTGAGGTACAGCATGCTACATATGCCAATATGGAAGGAACCATGAAAGATCAAGAAAAAGGACAGACGTGGGAATGAAACGGAGAGTTTATATCATAACAAACTTAAATCATTCCGACGTACGGATTTGACAAAGTGCTTCTTTAAAGACCACATCGTCAGAAATGGTGCCAGCACAAATTTCGTCCTGCTTCGATCCATCGATAACCTAAACCTTCAGCGAATACTCAGAGCGAACTCGCGAGCAGACAATGTGCAAATGGCATGGATGGATACTGGCTCCGTAAGTCCGACTTTATGAAATATCTCTCCCTGAGACTCGCTTATAGTCGTACCGTAGGTATGCTCGATACGTAATTGACGTTGGCAGATTGGGAACGGTATGCTGGCTTGGGTTGACGCGTCCAGTGAAACTCTTTAAGACAGGTAATGAATGCAGCCACTCGGCGCACCCGTCCTCACCTCAACTACTATGGGTGTTCAAATGAAATGGGGACTTTTAGTCCCCTACCGACAATTGGTAACAGTCATTGTCCCCTTTTCATTTGTACCTCTGATATAGACATTTGCGTTCAGATCTCTCATGATCATAGGCGTGTCATTTCCCAATCATAAGACTTCATACCCGCATCAGGAGAGCTCCAATTTATAGGTTTAGGAGATGCATAACGAGAGTATCGAGATTGTAGAAGAATTCAAACAAAAAGTTTTAAACAAAAGACCTAGAAAAGGTACAAGCTTGAACGGCTAACAGCTGCAAGGGCGAATCACAAAACGCGCTTAGCCTATGACTTGGAAAGGCGAAGGCTCGCAGGCCTATCGGCTACCTAGCGTATGTCGTGGAAGGGAAAAAGCGGTATAGGCCAAAGGCTACCCTTACCACGAATCACTTCAGTGTATTCTATTATAGTGTGACGGATAAGGATGGCATCGAGAGGCTCGACTGAATGTGCAGGGTTCGGTGGTGTAGTGGTAGCACACCTGACCGGCAATCAGGAGGCCCGGGTTCGATTCCCGGCCGTTCCTTGGGTTCTTTCGACCTCTCATGCCGTCCGACTCCGGAAGTTCCCCTCCGTAACACCATTAAAGATTGGTAATGAACTTGAGACGTTTATTGGTGGATTAATTTGATTTCACGGTCTGAACAGGGTGAATGAATTAGACTCCCACGCTATCGTCTCTCTTCAATAATTTGTGTGATCTTGCTTGTTTGTCGCTGATGATATCCGTGTAAAGTTGAGACCCTTGCTCAGAATAACTTCGAGCGGTTTCTGTATGTTCGGCTTGGAATTAATGTTAACTACGAAGCCATGGGTGAAGATTTAGTCTTAAAAATGACGCATAGAGTCAGAAGCAGCTCTTCTGCTATCGTTAATTAGTATTTTGTGAAGTTACAACTTTATGCAAGCTTCAAGTCCTTTCCATCGCTACACTAGGAAGAAAACTCGATGAAAAAACCCCATCAACCTCAGCCGAAATTGGAAAAATATTGGAATTTATTGAAGTATTGATTGATTATTATTAATAAAATTACTATTACTATTAATAAATTGATTACTATTAATAAAACTAAGACAGTATTTTTAAAAAGTATGCAAATGCGAGCACAGAAAGCTCAAAGAATAGGAAAAAGTCCAGATCCGAATGAATGTAGCGAAAGCTCAAATCCTCGTATAAGAGGATTGTGCATCTTATCCACGCAGAAAATGTTAATCATCACATGAGCTGATGATCTGCGCGCTTGGACAAAGCAAGAAACCTTCTGCTCATGAGTGTGGACAAGGCCAAATTGTGCCCAACAGTGCCATGATAGATAGGACAGCCCAGAGGGGGTGGGGGGTCATCGGGGACAATTCTGCCCCGGGTTTAGTTTTACCCAAGCCTCTGGGCGGCCCTGATGGTACAGCAAATTTGCCTTGTGAAATTCCTTAATTTTGCGCTGACAGTCACGTTCCCCACAAAGCGCACTGAACTGATACTTCCTCACGCCTTAGTCCGTCTAGCAACCCCATTCCTCCATACGACACTTCCACAAATGCATTATAACTCTTAGTGGTGTCTGGCTCCTGCTCCTCAATCAGGTTCTCAAGAAATGTTTTCGTAAAATTTCGACAGGCCTATGAAACCCTTCACAACCTAAACCCATCCTACTATGCAGTCTCAATGCTTTTCTCATAGCCTCGAAACTTGTAAGTCGAATGGAAGCCCTGGGATATGGGATGCACCCATTCTGACTTCCTTCCGCGAATTTATCCTCTACCATCTCGTAAAGCAAATTGTGACATCACTCTACATCCCCCATCCAACGTGATCTGAGCTTAGTTATGACTTATTTATAGATACATGCCTATATAAATCGTTCTCTGGCCCCTGAGACTACCAGTTGCGCCACTGCGAGCGTCGTGTATGCTGTCATTCACGCCCCCACAAATCTGATTAGATTTGATTAGAGCCTCTAGACAGAGGAAGGAAGCTCTCGCTCCCAAGCTCGCCTTCAATAGCGCAACCAGACTTCAGTTTTAGGGGGGGGGGGGGGTGTTCGCCCTTACCGCTATCTCAAGAGATTCTTGAGCCTGCGAGGGAGGGGGTAGTTAACCCTCCGTTAGTTCCTCCTTTGGCTGTGATCTGGGACTGATGCTTCCCTGCATGAGTTATATCAAATTTCATCGCCTTCTTCATTACTGCTAAGATATTCGGATGAAGGAGTTTCCTTCGAAGAATTCTACTTTGAATTCGTACTACCTTTAGCATTGCGCATGACGATTCGCAGAATATTCGATGAAACTACCAAACAAACATGGTAGCGTTGTGGGAACGTTCAGCTAGAGTCAATACAATATCATCAACGTTGAAGGCCCAAGTCTAACGTTGCATGAATGTCTCAGTAGTGTTATGGCACTATGATACCTTCTTGAATTGCATTTTTGAATAATATTTCTGGTAACATCATGGAGCATGCCAGTCCAATAGGGAATAACTTTTTTGTTTCAAGAAATGACCAAGAACCTATCCAGTGTTACTAATGTTGACGGAATGCTTCTGCTTCGACGTTCAGCAGCATCATTTATCAGGGGTTCTAGGAATGTGTTGTAAGATGAAAAATGCAAAGGTCCACGAATTGTTGAATCACAGTTCGAAGAAGCTCCTATATGGAACGTGTTTGTGCTTGCTGGGGAATGTTCAACCAATCTCAATATCGGGTAAATATTGGCTTCCCAATATTGCCATTCCATCATCGATCCAATATCGGACTAATGCGATGGTCCAATGTGCCCAAGTTGCACGTAGAAGTTTTTTTGTGTGTGGAAATGTTGAAGTTCTCTTCCAGGCCACTAGATGGAGGAATGGATCTCGCTTTTCGCACAGTACACAAAAGTGCATTCCCTCTTTCATCCCTCACTGGTGACTGGAATGTTTAGTACCTCACCATATGTTTTTCTCATCATAGTCTCATCATAGCAATCAATTAAATCGAACACTTAATCAATTATTATCCTCATATTCGAGACAGAACCCAGCAAACAAGGTAACGTTGGATCAACGTTATATCAACGTTCCAAACGTTCATTCAATGTTGATTCTACGCTGATTCAACATTATGTGTTTCTAATTGTTTGCTGGGTGGGTACTTCGCAAAGCAGGAAAGGGAGGACTGTTCCCTTGAAAGTACTAAAATTATTACATGCAGAACAATATGTATATTTCTTGACCGTCATTATTGACCCAATAATGGGGTGCTACTGTCACAGGTTCGGTGTGTGCTTTTTAGTGTTACTCTTCGGAGGCTGGCAAATTATTATAATTATATGATACCGATCCCTGTGCAATAAGTTTAGGGGAAGTAAGTGGTAGCGGGTGATTCGGACCCAGGCGGTCTCGATCTCTCTGGCCCACGGCCTTAGTAGTTGATAACAAGGAAGGATTCAGGAGTCAGTCACTATACACCCTGAGCCTTTTAATCACTGATTATTATAACATCATATATATTATAACATCATATATATTATAACATCATATTATAACAACATAACAACAGAGTAGTTTAATAATATTGAGAATCATGTAGATATTGAGACAATGCACTTCTCACGTCCTGGTGTGTATTGAAGGAAGTCAGGACGAGCATGCCCCTCAAGAAGGGAAGGCTTGTCTCTGGAAGGCGCGTAGTGCTTGTCTTCTCCTGCACAACTGTTCTGGAGGTCCGCCCGGTCTGGAATCCTCAGACACAACTCCGTGTAACTGTCTGGCGTGGAATCCCCCTCTAGTGCGGCTTCGGACCCCTTTTAAAGCTTGTTCATGCCCTCGGGCTTATTTCAAGCCCATCACACTACCATTCCATTAAGTGACATTGCAATGTTGGCCCAACGTTCAACAGAGTATTGCGATGAGCGACATTGAAATATTGACATAATGTTAGATGCAAGGCCACCACAACGGTGGGAAGGTTCAAAATTAACGTTAATACAATGCTGATTGAATGAATGTTCGTTTGTTTGCTGGGTACCACCAATTCAGTTTGCATTGACCCTTGCCACTAGCACGATGACTCAGTGAAGAGATGTCGCTGTCTCAGACCAGGCAATATGGCTGCCGCCACTGTAAGTTCGTTACTGAGATATGAAGTACGCAATGAACGAATGCAGGGAGCATGAGAGTTAACGTTAAGTTTTCTCACCTGATGAGATCAAGCACCTTCGATTGGGGTCACGGTCCGAGGAGACCTAGGATCAACTTCAACGCGATCGTGGACCCATGCGTCGATTCCTAAGCTTTGGTGGAAGTGGAAGGAAGATGAACGGTGGAAATTTTCGATATACGTTCTGGGATCCTCCCTTGATCCTCTCGCAAATCATCACCATGCAGTCTATATTCTACGTCGGGCTCGGTCTTTTCCTCTCACTTGCCGACTTCATGCTCTCTTCTCATCGATCTCTAGATCAAATCTTCAAATTCCAGGTTGGTTTGCAATATTGACTAACCCATTAGGCAAGTAGCCATTTAACTCTTGGAGGCCATGAGTATCACAGACTTGTGCCTTAGTTAGATCTAGGCTCTCGTCCATTGTAGTGGTAGTGGCTGCTTTTCCACCTACTTGAACCACCTGATACATACTTCTAGTCCTAATCAAGTCGGCCAACATTTATTGTAGTTGCCAAAACTAAGTCATTCATGTGCTTTCCCGCATGAAGGTCAATGCATCTTGCAATGTAAATGTCACAGCTCTCACAGTCTTTGTTCATTGCCCTATTGGTTTACACTTTCTGCTGGGTTGATGCAAAGGTCAATAGGGGGTGCATAGAGCACTGGGCACAAGTTATAGTGGTTATAGTATCTCTTTATTTTTCTTATGGTTATTTTGTTCTTGGAATCCACAGTCAGTGGATGAGAAGTAACCTATATTGGGAAATAATGGGTTAGTTCTGGTACTCTGTCAAGGCTGTTGACAAACAGGGATTTCAAAGTATCATAACTCAGTATTTGTGATACTGTGTTCATAGCTGCATGCAATGCACAGATGGATATTTAGAGTTTGTCATGCCTGAACTGATGGTTAAAAATCATCACCATAAGCACAGTTCTCTTCAAGTCAATTTTACACCTCACTTCCAAAATTGAATAGTGTGCCATAACATTGGAAATAACTTTCGTAATCAATCCTTGCTTTCAAGTCAGTCGTTTTTTTAGGTTTCATGCAGGAAATCACCATATTTACTATTTAATTTGAAAGAAATTGAATGTCATGACAACACATGAAGAAGGTGTAAAGGATTCACCAGGCATGGATGACTTCATTAGCCACTTTGCTTATGTGATGTCACTCATATTCTTACTATGAGGGCTCGTCAAAACTCAAGCTTATTTACCTCCAAAAAATTGAATGACTTGAGAGCCAGTATTATTGGTATCATTTCCTGGATCACAACAGAGCAATTTTTGCTTGTTTGGAAGATTGTGAGAAGTCGACTTGAACAGTGCTGTGCCTATGGTCTTTGCAGTTTGTGAAAGATTTCCAGATGTGGCCCACTGGCTCAAAAAGTTTGAGTATCCCTGAACCAGATGAATTTACTTAATCATGTAGCAATCCTTTGACCCTATGAAACAGTGCACTGTTTTGTTAAAATACTTTAAACTATGCCAGGGTATTTAGGCCTGGGATTAAGGGTTATTAAACCTAATAGGCTTCTCATTAGCCTAGAATTGGTGAAACTTTTTGGCAGAGAATCCACATTGCTTGACCTAGGCTTGATTGCCCATGGCCTAATATAAGCATATCCAGTGTCTGATAGTACATATTTTAAATTGTTCCTCTTGAAATTTTCCTGGCCTGAAGCCTTATGTGTTGGAGTGATGCTTCCATAGGGTAGGTGGTTGAAGAATCTGGTGATTGAATCACATCCATATGGAAGATCTTTTAAATTCTATTGAAGTAAAACAAGTAAATTCCAAGTCTTAGTGATACATAGTCTAATGGTACTGAATCATTCAGTCCTGGCTAAGTAATAATTATTGCCAATGTTACTCTCTTGCTCCTTCCATCAAATTTGCTTGGATCTTATGCTATTTTAATGATAAATTTCCTCAAGTGGTGGGGATGTCTAGTTTTTTGCTTTATGCAGTAATTAGACACTGGCAGTCAGATGCATCCTTACTAGAGTCCAATCATTCCCTACTGATTGAAGTCCACAGTGGTCCAAGCAATTTTGAATGCACCCTGGGTTCTAACATGCTCATGTTATCCGTTCCTCTGTGTGATTCGATTGGCTGGCAGCTAGGATGTTGTTGAGGCCTTCTTTCATTGTGACATATAAAGTCAACTGCCAGGACTTGGGTATTCTTTCTTGCCCTTTGTTAAGTCTTTTTTTTCTTGTATCCTGGGACAAATTCTCCATAGCAGAACCCAAGCCTTCTCTCATTATCACCACTATTTGTTATGGGTTCTGCTGCTTGTCTTTTCTTACTAATAATATAGATAGTAATATGATATTATAGGGTAATAATATAGGAACCATTGTGAGGGTTCAGTGTGTTGGATACATTAGGGAAAATGACAAGCTTTATTTTTGTATCCAAAATAACATACCTGATGGTTATGGGTCATATTAAGAAATATTTAAATTATATTTAAGCCAAATTTAGTGGATTCCAAATGAATGGTGTCATTTCATTAACATCTGGATGTGAAATTTTAAAAATATTACTATCACAGCCTCTCCTGACTAACAAAGGTCAGCTTTAGGCTGAAGGGGTCCAAGCATTCCCCCACCCGAAAAGCCTGCACTCTCCACTGACCGGTTAGACGACCAAGAGGTGAGGTGAGACCAATGGAGCTCTTTGAGCTATCCAGGCTCATCAGAAAATAGCGTTGTCCTGTTACGAGTTTCTTCGCCCTCTCTCAAGCTATTGGAAATCAAAGATCTGCTGGAACATGCACTTGGTACTGCAAATCTGAGCGCGTTTGGAGTCAAGATATCGTCGCCAGATGAGAACAGCTGTGAAAATGGATGTAGCCGTTGATATGTCGACTTACGTTAGGTGGCATAAAAGATGTGTGATCACGCCTGTCAAAATGTTTCACTTTGGGACGTCCCAAGTGAGTGGCCCGATCCCTTCTACTTCGGAGGTTTGGCGGCCAGTATTCGTCCCACTTTGACGTTTGCGTCTGCGTTTCTCGAATCTGGGCACGAAATGTCTCTGCCGTTCGTCGGTAGGCCAACTTGCAAAGCAGAATTTACGCCCTGTCATCTGTTCTCGGTCGCGGTGTTACGAGTAGTGTGTGTCTCTCTCGACAGGAGCTGCACGTGAGAGATGGACATGGCCGAGCCGTTCTCACGGCCTTCTTCCTCAACTCCCTACTCTGGTGAGTGCCGTTGCTGGCATTCCGGCTGCACGGTAAAGCCGACGCGTCTCACCGTCGATGCTATCTGACTGGTTTCAGTTCTCTGGGGATGTGGTGGGTGGTGCACAGGACCAAGCAGTGTCTGGACTTCACGGTCACCATCCATTTCTTCCACCTCTTCGTCGTGTGGATCTACAACGGGATGCTCCCCAACACTGTGTCCTGGTGGGTGGTGCAGGTGGTGGGGATGGTGGTGACGTGCGTCTGCGCCGAGTTCCTCTGCATGCGCACGGAGCTCGCTGCCATCCCCGTCAGCCTCGGCGCGAAGGCGGACCTCTGACGGTGACGGTGCGGCCGTTACAGGGTATCGTGGTGGTGTCAGTTTCTCCTGCTCTGTGATTCATCATCATAATATAATATCCTAATATGGTTATCCTTCCACGCGGTTTCGAGCCGGGAAAGGGTTGGATCCGAAGGGTCGAGAAGGACCGAAGCTAAGTACCTGTAAGAACAAAAGAGACCCAACGTCAAGCCGACATTTATGACTGGGAATCGATTGCAATTTAGGTCTCTGTCTCGGACATTAATTTATGAGACGACAGCCTATACAAGATACAATAATTCTTTTAGCCTCCAGGATAATCTTGGGCTGTATTCTCTACAGTGGCGTGCCCAAGAGGGGGGGGGGGTTTGGGGGTCATAATCCCCCCCCCCCCATGTCGATTTTACAGATTCTCAAATTTTTTAATTTGGCCATAAATACAGGGTGGGTTATCAGTTTTTTTTTCATATGTTAACTCCCCCCCCAATAAGGTGGGTAATCAGTGTTTCATATGGCAACCCCCCCCCCCCCCATTTGGATTTCCCGGGCACGCTACTGATTCTTTATGCTGAGCTGTCATTTTTCATCGGAACTGTTAGGAGCATGAGCAGCGCATGTGCCGTTCTTCTCACCTCAAAATGTTACTCAGTCGTGTACTCTGAGTGTGTCTGAAGGGATGAAAGTAAGTGCACCCATTCTCTTTACGCAAGAAATAGGTATTTCACAAAATTTATGTATTGAATTAATGGGAGATGTGAGGATCTCATATTTTTCCCTTGGCATATTTTTTTATTCGCACTTATCACCTCACGAATCTCGTGAACATCAGGGCTTTTGGCGACAATTCCAGTTCGCTAAAAGAGTCAACACAGCATATTGGTGCCCCCACCACCACCGCTGAAAAACGCTGACAGAAATGTCGTGGACAATTCTCGGCTCGCTTAGAATTATGTTTATCTCCCGTTCACTTCAATTAAATATTTTCCATTCTGATGGACCTCATCGTGTGTTCTTGGAAAGAAATGTATTCAAGAGAAATTGTTGCATTCAAATGTATAACTCAGTTCCGCCATTCCTGAACCTTACCCGCATTTCTTCATCTTTATTGTTCGATCAACTTTTTTAATGCTCCAAAATCCTGTTGGGATTCATTTAGGATTCCATTGGGTTATATCCTTAGGAGTATATAGCCCTGGGGGACTCATGCGACCTAAGTCGTTTATGATTCACACCTCAACCTTCCTTACTCTGACATTGCACACGTAATGTCAAACCGACACTTGTCCGATATTCAAATGAGGATGGAAGTAGAAATCTTTATTCCTCCATTAAAAAAAAAAAAACAGAGATTGGGCCTACTAGCTAGTCTTACTAACTAGGAACTCGAGCTCATTTTTCAGCCTCTACCCGAAAGAAAAAGAAATCTCAACGTCATACCGGTACGACAGGAAATGGAGGAGATGATTTTAGGGAAACAGCATTCCACTATTCTCCACAGAAACGAATACATTCATATCATTTTATTCACAAAATATGAATGCACCAGAAAACAATGCTTCTAGGCATTTGCTACTGGATAAACATTTTTTTCAAGTCACCGATTGCGTTGGTCTTAATGGGATCTGACATGTATCAGAGCTTTACCAGTTAGCTTATTGGCATTGCACTTGTACACAAACTACAAAATGAACAGACTCATAATGCTGTTTCATGTACGCTACACTGCTTGACCCGTGACAGTGAATGTAAGGGCAGTAAGCTACGTCTCCCCCCAACACCGAGAAGTGAAAGGAAATGGTCGTCCTTCGTGAACGAACGTCCTACGCCCAGTTGTGGCGCCCCACCTGCCTCGGGTAAAGAAGGCGAGGTGGCCGAGCAGTGGGAGTTCTCGGTGAAGCGTGGGGTATCGAGTCCTCCAGACGATCCGTTTGTTATTATGGAGAACATCTGCTTGAGATGACGACCTCCTATCTGTGTGCTACATCTATGAGATGATACGGTGCATATATAGGGTGATTTAAAAAAAAAACGCTCTTCCGGTTTTTTTTTTTATATACACATTTTCATAAATACAAAAAAAAGTTATACGTTGGCTATGCGATCGACATTGGACAGTTACAAGGTGTTGAGATGTATGTCAGCTTTTCTTCAGCACCCCTGCCTAAGCAATGCCCATTTAGAAGTGAATAATTCCACCTGAAGTGAGGCAATGATTTGTGCTCGACCGTCTCGGAATTCAATGAAATTTGACAAACGGTCGGATTATTTTGAGAATAGCCCGCAGACAAAAAATATATGTCCGTACTTTGAGCGGAGGCCGAGAAAAGTAAGTTTTAATTAAATCTTGGGAGCACAAAATGGCCCTCAACCCCCAGATGTTCCTGACTACACGGTTGTTATATCATGAGTCTAAAAGGTTTTTTTTTTTTCGAAATCCGCAAGGTGGCGCTGTATGTCGATAGAGGGCGCTGTTGTTGACTGGGGAGCCCCCTATCTTCGTGCCACGGCACTTTTTAGGTAGGAAAAGAAAAACCTGTAAGTTTTTTTTGTTTTTGAAAGCCTTTGAACACATGAGCCTCTCTGCAAAATATATGTAGTATCTGAGAGCCCTTTTTGAGATGATGGAGCATTACTGCATTTGAGATGTAATGATCCACCTGTAAACTTTGTTACGGGACAATGCATAGCTCAAAGAATTGTTCGCTCTCAAAACCCAGACAGTCTTCTCAACACCTTGTATATGTATGTATGTATATCAAGTGGCTATGAATCTTGTCATTTTTGCTCGAATGTACGACTCTCACTTTATCCTATAGAAATCGGTGGAGCGTTTTGTTAATCACTCTATATATATATTTATGTTCAGCGGCCGTCAAGGTGACAGAGGATTCAAAAGTTTTCGTTCATCGAAGTGTCAGATAATTAACCGAGATCCTTATAATATAAGGAGGCCAAGCCTCTGAGGAAGGATTATGGTATTTCGTAGTTGGCGTTGTCAAACTCAAACAAAAAATGGACAATAATAATTTGGGGACCCTGGGGCCCCCCGTTATTACCACACCTCCATCCTTCGATTCACGCCGGGTACAGAGCGCCTGGCACCAGGCGAGGACGGAATGGTGTGTACCCAATATACGCCTGGGTTCGGCGGCGGTTGGGGATTCGAACCCCAACCTCCCGGACGGCACGCGGACGCTCTGCCACGAGGGCCATTTCCGCCGGTTGTTTCTAACTCACTAGAACAGACGGATACATCGCTTTTTTAGGTGGAAGGAAATTGCCTCGGGACAAGAGGGGCCAGACGGCATGCGCCTGTCTATGCCCTGTCCCGTTTTCACCATTCGTGCATTTGGAGGTCTCTGTTTCCCTCTTCAGTGCGTCCCCGCTACATGAGGCATCGTGAGTCCCGATAGCTTCTTATAATTCTTTACGAGGACCTTTACAATAACTCCCACTACCGTTATGTGCGAATGTGCAGTATTTTGTATCTTCTCGCCTACTCCAAGATTTACGCGTTTCGGTTCCAGTATTCTTTCGGAGAAGCGACTGGTGAAGTTGTACGAGTAAGTCTTGTCTTAGTCCCAGACTTAGAGAGCTCCTCAAGAGATCCAATGTTTGTACTTGGGAACTACGTGTTTGGGACCGGGAGAATCCAGAGTTTTATGAGTGTACGATGCGAGTCCTCTCATCCTGTATAACCCATATAGGATGGAAATGACTATGGGCATATTTATTTGCCCTATCCTGAAGTTCTCTGGAAGTGAGAGACGAGAAATCCAACTGTCCATTTTGCTCCCCCTTTTATAACTTAATATTTCCTTAGAATTCAAAGCGGTAGAATGAACTATTTCCTCTGAAGTAATTTCTTACTGCGCCTTTTTTTTCGACCTGACGGAATGGCAGAAACCAAAGCACGCATTTACGGTAAATGCATTCGGTTCTCTTGCACTTCATTCGTGGTGGCGCATTCGAGGATACGCAAGGATCAAGGATAGTGCAAACTATCCATTTTGAGGCATATTAAATCCTTATGCAAGTCCATTATGATTGCGCGTGAAAGAGAAACTGGTGCGCAGACTGGCGCGCACAGTTCAGTGCAGCTGCTGAACAAGCCTAGTAAAAGCACTGGGGTTTTCCTCGACTCGATTATCCTTTTCACAGTCCTTGTTAATAATCGAGCTGAAGATATTGGAGATAAACCAAGCGAAAATTTATAGAGTGCCTCTGGTTCAACGGAGATCTGCTTTCGCACAAAACGGTTACTTAACCCTTTCAGACCTGAAAGGGCCACTATCGGAATAATATACTTTTTTGCATTTTTGAGCTCTTTTGCCTTTCTACTTTAAATTTTTACATTCCATATATCGTTTTATATTTTGTATAAATTTACCATATCATACATGTAATTAAATAACTGATGATAACTAAACTGACAGGTGAAAGAAGGCCTCCGATGGAATTGAGCCATGCATAATTGCGCCCATTGTGCTTTAATGGGACGCAAAGTCACGAGAATCTCAAGAAATTACCATAGACACAATGAAAAAGTAATGTCCATTGGAATGAACGCCAGGTCTGAAAGGGTTAGTGGATTTTCCTGTTTAGTAGTGGACGAGGGGCAGGTAGTTGTTGAAGGCTGTGGGAAGCCGTCACTTCAGCACGATGCACCTCAGAGCGTTACACTGTAACCACCAACTCAAACTTCCATCTACTTGAATTCCTAACCCCTTAGGTGGGGAATCTTTCTGACAGAAGTCTACCTCCGTAGTCGGAAATTATTTTCGCGAGAGTAACAACTAGTGTTTTTGTAAAAAAAAATAAAATAAAATGTACCACTCTTTCTCGAGTTTATACTTCTATTTAGAACGTTTCATCCACGACGGTATATATGCGTCATACACACTTGAGGGATTACCAGTTACCTTGCTTTTCTTTCTATTGTATCTTTTCAATTGTATTCTATTGTATTGTTTCGTGGGGTCAGACAGACCCCAGCAATAAAAATCTCAACTTCACTGCATTGAAGTTAGCTACGAAACTGACACGATCACTTACGTAATAATTCCATATGAAGGTACTGGGATGGAAACATTGATCACAAGCGCCATCTCTCGGTGGGATCTCAAGACCCCACAAAACCAGTTGAGGGTTAACTCTCAAGGAATTCTCTGGGTCACCTCATGCGAGCCTGTTTTCCCGCCCGATCCATTGGCACCGCCTCTACGACTGTTCACTCTCGCTCCCCGACAGGGCGATTACGGCTACACTGCCCTTATAACGCTCCCAATATTTCCGTTAAAGCTCCCATTCTGTCACCAACTTACCTCCATGACGCATGACTCGTGAAGTCCTCGGCGTAGACTGCTCCGCGAGAATGTATCGTGACCCTCGACGTGGAGTGTTTGTTCCTGCAACTTTCCCCGAGATGACAGCTACCTGTCTGGGGATGCTTCTCACCCTCCGATCTTACCACGTTGCACGGGCGGTAAGGGAAACCCATCTTCCTTTTATTCACCCGAGTTTGTCTGGGCAAGGAGCTCCTCTCGTCTATACCTGAATATGCTAAGCAAATACCACGGGGGATATACTCCTGGGGTTTACGAAATTAGGGGTGTTCGTGACGGAACGTGGAATTAGTTTTGTGTGACAATGCCTTTGCATCACGCTTCAACACCCAGTCATTGTTGACGTTGTTCTGCGACTCCCAACACCATAATGCACGCTATAACCTTGTCGATCGAGTGGGGTGAGTTCGAGCATGTTAAACGATAATATCTTCATTGGAGCGGGTTCGTGGCTGAGGCAGAGCGAAGAATTATCCACCATCGTGTCATCACGCGGTTGGTCTTCCACTATCCTTCAACGAGTCATTGTTCTATGCCATTCGTCAAAGAACAGTAGTACTGCTTTTTTCATTCATCCTCGCTATCCCACGAGACTGAACGTCAGCTGCCCAGCTAACGTTCGTTGAAAGGACACAGTCCCAATAAAATCATTTAATTGCTGAGATATCTGGAAATCGATAGTCTCGTCAGACCTCGGGTCTTGTTGCAGGCACACTTTGACAAACTTGAGACGGATCCTAAGTGTGTCCTCACCTACAAGATACTGCAATATATATAGTGAAGTGATTCCGCCTCCTCAGTTCATAGAACTTGGTAGAGTACCACACTTTTTTCTGCGAGAAGATCGGGTAGGTGTTTTCTGAAAGAAAAAGTGTGGTACTCTACCAAGTTCTATCCTAGAGATCATATAACTGTACCATTCCGCATAAGATGGCATAGACAAATGGTCCTATGACTTTGATAAGTAGAGAATCGATAGGCTATCCTGTATGGTGGGGCGCAGCATTATTTATCAAGCCTCTAGCCTGTTTGTTACAATGATCCACTGGTAATATTAATGCCGGAATGGATAATGGACAATAGCTTGTTCTCAAGAATGCAACAGAAACTTCCCAATACTATAAACTTTATTCTAGAAAACTTCATCGTAACTCCTGTTTTTTGCTTCATGTGATGCAGACAGCATGTATAAAGCATAGACTTTGGTTAAATTGTGCTTCTTTTTGGTAACTGTTCGAGCATGCAAATTTGAGCATGCAAGTAAGAAGAAACAAGTAGGCTAGATGAGGAGCAGAACGGAACACAGGCGGCACCATCAACAGCTTTCACATGCACTCAATAAGCACCAAAGAAAAACCATTTCTATCCCCTATGTACAAAAAAATACTGGTATTTAACTTGCATGACACATATTGAACCTGATCTCCACCTATTACTGGTGCATAAGGCACAGATTGTTTTCTTGTACCCTGCCATGTTTAATTGTCAGGCCGCGACCATTTTCGCATTCGAAGTTTCCTTTGAGAGTATTTGTTCCTCCTTGGCGGCTCCCGTTCCGTTCATGTCTTTAGTCTTCGCCCTCCGAGTGAGAGTCGAGATCCTCCAGGATCCTTTTGGATCTCGAGGGCCCAAGAAAGTTTTGATTGCGTTCCCGATCGTAATCTTCCCGTTCTTTCTCCAATCTCTCTCGTGTCTGAAATAATTCAAATTCATTCACGCATTGTTTAAATTACAACCTTGTTCAGCTAACACGACACCACACGAATACCAAATTTAAAATTTCGGATAAATGCATGCTTTCAGAGTCATCCCAACCTTGCACGACCACACGACGCTTAATTTTGTAGGTCAAACCTTACCTGGTCCAGGATTTAACATATCAGATCCAACCAGAATTAGTGAAGCACCATGCAGTACAGGTGCCTCATCGGATCCGTGCACGTACTCTGCCCACAACTGCCTGGGTCGACGGATCGTGCGCTCTCTTTTCTGGTTTTACATTTCCCTCATGTAGGATGCAAGCTATACTAAGAAATTTCCTCGACGGTCAGCCTGGTTAAACGAGGGCATGCCTTGCTTAAGCTTCAGGCAGGACTTGGGGACCTCTACAAAGCATGGGAATGCACGATGGGGTCTGCCTAATTCACATCAAGTGACATGTCGACGTCAACCCTTATTCTTGGTGAATGGACTGCACTTGAGACCGAGAGAGAGTGATGTTGCCCCAGGGTTAGCCAGCAAATTTCACCTAGCAGCTCATTTAAATAAATCAGCATGCTCTAATACCTAAGGAATAAGAATTTGACAGAGTGGACCCACTTCCATTCTGGAATACCTACGCAGCAAGTTAAATGGCATATGGCGAAGCTCCACAAATGTCGACGAGGGGGAAAGGACCAACCTCTTGAGATTCTATGCAGATGATGCGGCCCTCGACCTTAGGACAGAGGTGGGACGCCTTCTCCTCTAACTCGTGGATGGTCGGTTGCCGAGTCAACTTGGGTTTCCCCAGCCGGAAGAAGACAGAGGGAGGCGTCACAGGGAAGTGGGCCGGCTCCGTCATGACGTCAACGGGTGGGGTACGCGTGTGCTGGGAGATATCCACGCTGCTGATCCGACGCAGGTGCGGGGTGCTCGGGGTGTCTGGACCCTGGAGGCTCAGACGACGCGCCAGGGAATGACGGCGGGAGAGCGTGACCAGGCTCTGCCGGTGACGGGAGGGGTATCGGTCCCCCTCCCGCAGGAGTGCCACCGAGCGGAAGTGATTTTCCACCGCCGTCCGCAGCTCGGGGCTCGACTCCGCGTCAACCTACGACATTCGACTCTCACTCGCATGGCTAGATTTTCCAGATATGCGCTCAGTATTGTTGCAGGCATTATTCTTCGCCAAAAAATGAATAAGCGATGGTGTGTATAGCGCGTTATTCTACATTCTCCTGACCATAAATGAACCAGCCAGCATAGAAACAAGAAAAAAGAGGATGAGTTTGTGCCCAGAAATTGGAAATACCATGATTATTCCCATTTTATTTTGAGGGGGGAGTGAAGAAGCATTTCTCAAACATCTTCCTTCCTGTGAAGCCTAGCTAATGTGGGGCCATGTTAGGAGCCATGCACACTGACTGCGAAGAGCTGCGTTGCGACCGTCGCAATCGGTCGCATTGGAGATGCGTGGGACCTTCGCAGTACGCTTCGCAATGGAATCGGACGATTCATTTCTGTCGCATCTTCGCAGTGGTTCTTCGGTGATAATATTTTCTACTAGGGTCTCGAATTCTCCCATCTGATGACGGGATCTGTGTACAGGACGTACCTACCTACAAGAAAGCAAAAGTGTTGCAGCGCGAACTCTCAAATTGTACACAGCCATATTTGATTTGGCTTGGGAGCTCTGCGAACAGTGTAGAAGATGCTTCGCAGACGGTCGCAGTGCGGCTTTGTCGCAGCACTTCGCAGTCAGTGTGTATCGGTCTTTACTTTCACGTTACAGGAACATTTTAGAACGTTTTACTGTTCCAATAAAAAAAAACTCCCAATGAAATCGAATCACCCCTATAGTGGTTGAACATCATTTGTATATATTTTTCTGTTGCCATAGGAAGCAACTTCGCTAATTACTCGACCCACTTAATCGATTAGCTTTAATCGCAGCAATGAAAGATTAAACATGGACTTCTTTTGGAGTTACGGAAAGGACACGATATCACAGACATCGTCTCACAAAAACACGCTTTTCGAGTTGATTCTGTGGGTGTTGCGTGGAATCGGGTCGACCAGAATTTATCTTTGGCACTGAAAATGTGGACAAGAGCAAAGGAAAATCATTCCGTCTCACTTCGGCATTCTTTAATCGAGAAGACGCCAAAATGCAAAGAGGTATCGGATGGAATGGACATTTTCCTTCTCGTTTTTCGAAACTGCTGTTGTGTTTCCGTTACGGTCGAGATGACGGTGGAAAGACGGAAATTTCATCATGATACCTAATCATAACTGACAGGCCGTTTTCAGATCGGTCTCGTCTCGTTCAGAGACTTGAGATTGAGATGTTTCAACGTGGAATCCGAAGGACCTTCTCGAATCCAGGTCGAAGGTGTTCGTCGTTCCTCGAGAATATGCTCGGTCCGCTCGAGCGTAAGCATCGATAACTGCGATGAGATCTAATTACAGCGGGGAAAAACTGCTCCATTTCGAACCGCGTTAGTGCACGGCTATACTCACGCTATTTTTAGAAGCTACTACAGGAAGCCACGAAGAACCTATCATCCCCGAACACGTTGACTTTTGCATAGCTTTTCGATGCGACGAATATCGGCAGGCACCGATACGCTACTTTACCGTTACGATAGGTACAGTTACGGTACCGAGGCGAGTCCTTTTCGAGAGGCGAGAGTGACAAGGAAAGAGAGTACGAGAACGACGCAAGATTCCCTCCCCTCCTCCAATCGGCTCCCGATCGGCGCTTCTCGTTTCAGACAGCCGGTTCGTAATGTTTCGGTGACGAGAGGCAGACCCCCTTCCACCGCCAAAAAAAAATCCTTGCCATTCGCCACCGGCTCCATCACCGACCGTAGCAGCTCTTGCCGACCCGGCAAGCCCAGTGATACGACACGACCTTCAAAACGATAAAAACAAGTTGGGGCTACAACTCCTCGAGGCGAGCAGGCAAGCGTCCACACGATTCGTCGGGGCGTTTCGAACAGGCAGTGAGACCGATCTGGACGTCTGGTGAAACTTCAGCAGGAATTTCCTTTTTACGGTTTGGGGTCCGGTCCGGCCGTTTCGGGACGGAAATAGAAGAATACGCCCGACTCGTGTCCACGATTCTGCCGGACGACCGTCACACTGAGATACCAACAACTTTCGATCGGATGCGAACACGACCGCAAACGCGTATTCGCCATAATACCGTCTAACATCGAGGAATCCACGACTGGAACTACGGATTTCACGATGCAGGTTTCGATTCGGTGCAGTCATCGTTTCTGGGACGATGGATCGACAGTAGCTGAACCTCGACTCGATCGCGATTCGACACCATAGTCGAAATGAAGCAAGTGAAAGATCCTCTCATTCTGGCCGACCCGATCCCTTCCCATTCGGGAAACAAATACGAGCTCCATTAAAATTCCAACGATTAATCCATTTCCAATAGTCATAGGTAACACGATTTCTCCTTCCACAGAGATATTAATCGAAAATTGGTGAGATATTCAGATCTCAAGGAGCGTGTTTTGAAGGAACTCACCAGCACTCGGCACTTCTGCAGGATCCCGTAGCCATCCCTGCCGCTGTAAAGGTACTCCTTGGTCACCAGGGTGTAGGTCTGCTCCATCTGAAAAAAAACCGCAGGTCTCCCTCGCATTCGAACTGCAGGGGGGCACGGAATGGGAAGGACTCGGTACCTGGAGGTACTGGTCCCCGACCACGACGAATCGGGGGTCCACCCGCTGCCCAGCCGGCTTGGCCGGATCGAAGGCGAAGCGCACCCCCGACACCTGCGGGAAGCGGCCCTCCAGCGCTGGGTAGCGGCTCACGCTGTTCTCCAGTGCTTGGTGCAATTCCTTGCCTGAGGGTCAAAGGTTACAAGATTAAAAACGGTTTTTTTTTTTTCTTCTTTTTTTTTTTTTTTTTAGAAGGTTCCTAGACTCGAGACACAGCAAGGTGACCCAAGAAGCTTTGCTCCGATGAGAATAAAAGTTTGACACATTTTTGGGACGGCAAAAACTCAATTATGACAAGATAATAATAATAAAAACCTGCATCTTCTTACGATGACTCTTTTTACTATCATGGAACAGCTCCATGCAGAAAATGCTGCTCCAATACTTCTTTTTGGGCGAATGACATTCTGAAGTTGGAGAGGTTCGCAAACCTAAGCTTAAAACTATCAAACTTGGGGGCTCATGAGCCATCTTCGCTTAGATAGGAACTTCAAGAGATGACAGGTTTTAGGTATGCCTACCAGCACTAACTCAGGCTTTATCAGCATCTTTGTCGGTAAAGAATGAGATGCGACTCGATTTGACTTGGGCCACATATGGACAATTTTTGGGACTCAATTTGAATAAAATGCGATTGAAATTTTGATTCAATTAAATTAAGTCTGGTGTGACAGTGAGCGACTTGACCGACCGGTGCACTCGAGGACGATGAGGGGATCCATCATGGGGAGGATGTGCGAGAGATCCCGCCAAGTGAACGGACCGCCCCGGATCACGGAGTCCGCCCGCAGGGTCCCGGAGTTGAGCAGGGCCGCGTCCGCGTTCGCGGCCGCCAGCATGATGTCCGTCATAAAATTCCCCAGGTTCGTCTCCTGGGTTCGTACGTACGAGAAGCGGCCCTCCAGGTCCGACACCACTTCCCCCAGGACCTCGTCCATTTTCCCATCCATCATCTCTGAACACATGGATGCCTCCATTCAATACCCTAATTCACGGCAATAACCCTTCTACATTTTTTACATCTTGTGAGGACAACTCCTCAAGCACTTCTTTTTATGTAACAGAGAACAAGCAGGACTCATAATTGAGAGGAGTTTTTAGACTAATCTTCCTCAATTCATCCTGTTGAACTTCCTGCAAAAGTAACGTATCTAATAATAAGTAATAATAATAAGTAAAAGTAACTGAATCAAATGACATGAAATTCATTGTGATGGATGGAACCTCAAGCCATGACCAAGAAATGAGAGGATTATATCCACTGAAGTTCCAAGGACCACTTAGATTTTTTTTCGGGATGAAATATTACATAAATACCGGTCTCTGCTTGCAGTGGAGGCAAAAGTTTCCATATTTCTTTCTGAAGTTACCCAAGTAATTTCCAAGTCATTACTGCAATAAGATAGATTTTGACTAAGCTGGTCCAGGACTACCAAGTACTCAATTTTAAAAGAAGGTAAAGAATAGTTGACAATAGTTGAAAGGCAAGAATTGAGAACAAACATAGGTGGAGGGAGGATATGAGTTCGAGAGCCTTTTTCCTCAGCACAGGAAGAAATACAGCTGGCAACACAACAACCCTCTCATAACAACAGACAAGAAAAAGCTGAACTGACTAATAAATTTGGAGAGAGCATCTTGAAGGTCTGGGTCTTCAGGAAAGGCAGTGGTGACCTCAATGGTCTGGACATCCATCGTGAATGGAAATGCGTCAAACCTGATGGTGATCTTGGACAGGTTACGGAAGTCCGTCCCGCTCTTGACCAGATACCGACCATCCAATTCTTGAATGACGGGTTCATGGTCATGTCCCCCAAGCACAAGGTCGACAGAAGGGGCCAACTCGAGCAGGCGGATGTCATTGGGCAACCGCATGTGCGTCAGGGCTATCACAAACTCGCAGCCCTATTAGGAAAATGCCCACCTTCTTTGACATCCTTTCAAATTTCCTATGGAACTTCACTCCAAAGTCAATAGGAGACTATTAAAATACAGGAACCAATATTCTTTATCATTTGTTCTGCTTTTATCTGACTGTTAAAATCATCATATTTTTCTTTGACGGAAAAAAGGTACCACCAATAAAATGCTAGCATGCAATTTTTTGTCCTATGATGTGCATATTTTTAACCCCCCAGTATTACTTCTACTTCCACGTTGGCAATCTTGTCCAGATGTTGTCCACAGCTTTGGTAAGAGTTTCTAGATGTCAATCTCAAACCCAGGCAAGGTCTTTCTATTTTAAGTCCTGCCCTAAAAGACTGTATCTTTTCAACATGTGTCTAGAGAAAGTGGCATTCACCTTACCACTTCTGAAAAGGAAACTTGCCATAAAAATATAATTTAAATTTAAATTACATTTGTGCATTAAAATTACAAAAGAATATGCAATAGAAACTGATCAGTCAGACATCCTGTAAGAGAACAGCAGCAGTTGTTGCCATTCATTGCCAAAACATGCTATGTATTCTGGTAAGACAGGCAACTTGGCAAGTTAAAGTTTTGTTGTTTTACAAGCTTCTAAGCATGTGAGTGATAAGTTTAGAGTTTAATCCTGTCAAAATGGACTTGGGTCTCCCATAGTTTACTGAATTCGAGTTCTCAATTTTACTGTGCTTCTTGAATATCTTCAGCTAATCTGATATGGCAAGACCACATGGCAGTTATTTGCTGACTGAAAACTATGGCATATATCTCAAATATGTTAACACCAGTGGAAGTCAAATACATTTAATTAAACAAAGATACTTTTACAATTTTTTTGTTAACTCTCAAGAAACTGTGGTGAGAAGTGGTACAAATCTTCCAGTTTTCTTAGGCACATCCTTTTAGCTTAAATTTTGATGGTGAATATGCTAAGACACATATCACCAAATGCATGACTTCAGAGGAGAAACAAAAAACATCACCAAAATTAAAATTTTTTTATTATATTTTCAAAACTCAGCAGGTATCATAAGAAAAGGTAATTAAATCATTTTAAAGCTAGCATTTACAAGGTTTTAACAGTAAATCCTGCCACCACTGTACAATTTAATGGTACAGGAATCTCAAGACCTACCAATTAGGAGACACGTGGTCTTGTATCTTCACCATCGATTTGCATTTTTAATTTTAAAAAGGGCCAGTACTGGTACCAGGGTTGCACATTTGGCAAAAATTTGCAGCATTTGAAGTGCTAAATTTCTGCAGACTGAGATGAGAGAAGGGTAGCCCTCAACAAATAAGCACTCTTGTCACTGTAATGAATAGGTTACTAACTCAAACAATGAACAAACAGCATAGAGGAAATATTTTTTTTTTGTTTCTCTTCATTCAATTATGGTAAAATGGGTAGTTTTCGCGCGATGGGGGGGATTTCGCGGAATGCTCATTTCTCGCGCGTCCCCCAATGAGAGACCTAAAGCAGACGACAAGGCGCTATCCAATGAGGACGCAGGAGATTCTGAGACCTGCTTACGCTCACGCCTGTCATGGGCAGGGCTGTGGGCGCAACAGGCTGCTTCCGTTCCATAGGATACGACCTATTTCGTAGGAAAACCGAGATCACTTTGAAGTCTAGCATCTATTTTTTTTCCTAAGGGATAGAGTAGTGCCCACATAGGATAATATTTAAGGAGAACGTGACTTCAAAATAAACTAAACAAGCACCTATTTGATCCAGCCCTTGTGGAAGAAGGGTGGTGCGCGAAAACCCCCGACGAAAAAAGCTTATTTTGCTATTCTCGCGACCATGCGTGAAAATGAAATCATCTTATATGGGAATTTCGCGCTGTTGAAGAATACTACATACAATTCGTGTTACGGCATGATAAATATATCATTATTTGCAAACAGAAGAAGCAAAATGAAGAATTTTTCATTTTTTGTTCCATACCTGAAAAATATTCGTTTTCTTTGTTTCCTCTCAAATTTACAGCTCATTTATGGAAAGAATGGCTACCCAACAATAACAACAGTGATATTCCTATGCAATCTTGAGAAGGAACGATATGATAATAGTACATTTTGGTGCAGTGATGTAATTCTTCCTATGAACAAAGTGTTCTCAACTGATTTTTCTTTCGACGTTGCTACTTTAGATATGCATTAACTCATTGATAAATGGCAAAAGTAAAATTGCCCAACCCATAGCAATTCAACTGGCAGGAATAAAGGAGCAAAAGCGACAGAAGCGCCTCGAAGAGCAGAGGAAAGGGAGCAAAGGAACTATCTCAAGGCAGAAAAATGCTAAGAGGAGACCACAAGTCCAAAAGGATAAAAAAGGAGAGAGGAAGAAGGCGGAACGACCTCCTCGTGGAATGTACCGAACATGTACTTCATGAAGATATGCATCAAGCAGTTGAAGCAGTAGCTTCATGAATGACGCTGAGGGAAGCAGCTAAGATATACAGTATGGTGTTCCAGAATCTACGCTTAGAGACCGTCTCTCAGGCCATGTTGATCCAGACGTCATTCGTTCCGGTCCAGGCCATGGCTGGGAAAGGATCTCGAGAATAGAATCGTGGAATACATTAAGGCAAAGCAGAGAGCAAACTTCTCTATCGACAGGGAAATGCTTCAAAAGCGGGTACAAGAGTAGCTCCAAGCAAAATACTCTCACGAAAACAAGAGTCGTCCCTTCAAAAGACATGAAGCCTGGATTGGACTGGATCTCACGATTCCTCAGTCGTCATTCAGACGTATCGGAACGTATCCCTCAGAAGCTGCAGAGATCGCGGTCTAATGTATCAGAGCAGGATGTCAGGAAATGGCTGGTTGATTTGAGATGCTACTTGGAAGAGGAAGATGCCTTTGATCTTCTTACTGATGAGGAGAGATCACGTATCTTCAACTTTGACGAAACAGGGTTTGGGCTACAAGGCAGCAGAGGCCTGTCTAAAGTTTTTGCAGAAAAGGGATCAAAAACAGTCCAAAGGAAAGTTGCTGATGGTAAAAGCACCATTACAGTGCTTATCGGCGCTTGCGCGGATGGATACTTTCTCCCACCAATAATGGTAAAGGCTCGAAAAGTTTACCAAATTACAAATACTACGAGGGGGGGCTGGATTTTGAAAAGGAGGAGTTTTGCTTAGGACATTCCTCGTCTGGATGAATGATAGGACCTACTGTTTTCCAATACAGGAGAGATTTTTTCATTCCACACGTGAACCTAAAGCGTCTGAAAAAGCCTGTCCTTGTTTATCTGGATGGACACTGGACCCACACTACCATTGAGCTGCGGGAACTCTGCAAGAATGAAGATATTATCTTGTACACTTTGCTCCCTCGTGCAAGTCACATCCTCCAGCCTCTCAACCTGGCGGCTATGAGGCCCCTGAAGAGTGCCTTTTATTCTCTTCCTGACTGATATGAAAAGCAACCTCAAGTGGACTTCACCAACACACGCTTTTTGCAAGTTTTTCTCCTCATGTTGAAAGGCAACACAAGTCCCAATCCTCGTCCTATTGCTCCAATCGACGAACCAGGAATAACCTTTACACCTCGTGAAGTCTTGGATACGATTGAAGGAAACCTTGCCCTTAAATTCTCCAGAAGTTCAAGCTTAGGATCGAAGGAAAATTCGACGTAGATGGAGATGAAGCCTCTCCCGAGCAGCAACTCTGGCGCATTTATAATCATTATTTTGAGTTATGCAAGGTATCTGTGATGGGGAAAGGCTACCACTATACATCGGGACGTGAAAATCCTGGATCAAGCCTAATGACCGACCAATCACCACCATTCAACAATAGGCAGAGAATTCTACTCCTGCATTACAGGAAGAACATCAAGGCATGTTCATCGAGGCATTGCAAGCAGGTCAACCCAGCACTTCCACAAGCATAACTCATGCAAGGAGAGCAATCTGCTTCACTCCGTCAAAGCCCGTCTCTGGGAAAAAAATTCCTTTCAAGTCCCCGTTCAGTAAAATTTTCACAGTGCCATCGTCGTTGATATCAATGAAGGAGAAGTGCCGCCGGAGAAAAGAGGAAATCGAGCCCTAGGCGCTAACAGCTGATGTAGCCATGGAGGCCGCTTGGAGGAAGGTGAAAACCAGAGAGAAGAAACACGGGAAAGGGACCCGGCCTAGCAGCAGCAGAAACGGCAGCCGTCACAAAGTCAAGAAGAGGAAGAGATTGCAGACACTGATGACTAGGGAGCGGTTTTGAATGCAAATGCATATTTTTTCTGCAGCCTCCTAGGAGCATACAACCCAGATAGGATCATGTCTTATTGGTAAAGGAGGCGATTTTTGCCATTATTAAAACGCATAAAAATGCATATTTTTTACATTTTTCTCAACATGTGCGTATATATGTGTATGTTTATACATATTTCGCCCATTTTTATGAAAAAATAAGAGTTTTCCAGGAAATGTTTCTTTATGAGCAACCTGTGAAAATTTTCCAGCAGTTATGCGCTGGTGAGAGTGGTAAAGCCGCCAAAACTCTGCTCTAAATCCATCCACTACCACCATCCCTCTCGAGCAATTTAAGAAATTCTAGTCCCCGTTCATTTCCCTTAGCCCTCCATTGGTGAATTCCTGTAACTCGGCGGAAAAAAAAAGAAGAAAACCTCTGGGAGGTCGATGGGTGAAGCTGTCCCACGTACATAACGCCAAAGATGCAATGAGGAGAATGGTGAGTGGATTAGATGCAAGAGTGGGGCACTTGATGCTATAGGGTTTGAATCCCTACAGGTTTTTCTGGACTTACTGAAGGTGAGGTTCACTTTTGTTATTGGGCATGCGGAAGTTGTGAGGATCAATTGCGGGTGATCGCTTCTTCAGCTTCAAAACGTATTTCTCCCTGGAACTTAGTGGTGTTTTCCACTTGAGAAGCGAGTGCTTTCTAGATCCGTTTTATGATTTTTTTTTTGTTTGTACAGAGAAGCAAATTTTGCGTTTTTAACAAATGGCTTTCTTTCTTCCGTAGTGCACAGCAATATTAATTTTTTCAGTTATGCCATGTATGTACATTTTCATGATAGGAACCATTTTGAGAAAGTTGTAGTCTGAGTTCAAAAAGGAACCGTGATCTTTCAGTTTTTATTCTGTGAATTTATTTTCTTTCCTTGTATTGTGATTTAATATTGTTATGCAGCCCGGAGTCAACTAGTGCTAGTGACGTTCGCCTTTTGCCATTTTTAATCACAAAAAGCGCGAAAATTGTACCCAAGTCAGGGTTTCCGCACTCCAGATGTTTTTAAATAAAATTCACCATTGCCATCTTTGGACTCATTTTCATGCGTATCTATTTCAATGTGATGGTGGAGGGATATAATCTCCATAATGAAAACTTGCATTTTACCGTGTTTCCAGGAGTTCATGGACAAGGCAGGTCATTTCAATAGCATAATGCGCGAAAATTGCATTTGTCTCGCGCGATTATCACTAGAGATCGACCGATATATCGGTCGATCTCTCGTATGAGTGTTCTGGCCAATACGGCATCATCGAGATGCGAGGAACTGCAAGTCTATCACTCTGCTTCCGTTTTTATTCTCAGAAGTTAGGCGTATTCACGGCTTCGGGAAATTCAACGGTTAAAACGATAGACGTTGCCCTAAGGGTTAGGTTTCGCTGATGATTGCCCGAAAGTACGAGGAATGTTCATTTAATTCGCGGACACTGGGAGGGGACTTATGCCCTTGCCAGACCCTGTTTGCGAATTAAATGAACAGCCTTCGTTTATAATTTTTGGCCTGCTGCCTTACGTTAATCCTCCCAATTATTCAGGGTCTAAAACGTAGCGTGAGTGTAGGCCTAAGCAAGTCTTAAAGGCCCTCCCCTGTTCGAGTACGATATTTCTAATGCTCGCCTACTGAAACTTTTAAAATGTTTCGTTCTTCTCGGGGCTTATGCTCACCCGATGGCATCTGATCTCCCAAAAAAATATCCCGACATCAAGAAGTGGAGATATATCCTTGAAATTTGGTTTCGGAACTCGATGGGCTAGAGAAACACTCCGATTCCATGAAGGCCGTTCTCTACATCACATAATTCATTAAAGAGATCGACGTCGATCTCTAATTATCACCGAGGGAACCGAGAAATCAGCCCTTCGCTGCCTATCCTGAATCTTGTCTCCTTGCCTGATAGTTACTGTAGCGGCGTTAAACTTCTAGTGGATTGATAGCCAATTGGGCACCCTGCAAAATGAAGTCTTTGGCTCAAGTATCTGACCGAGGATAAAATCGTCACGGGATGTGAAAGTACAAAATACAAGGATAGTGCCCGAAAACCACCCCTTTTACCATATATCTCATCCTGCATAGCTCTGTTATGGGCTGATAGCCAAGTTGGTAAATTATACTAGCTTATGGAGCTTTGACACCTACTAGGTTCTGAGAGCATTGCATAAGATAATGTCAAGGTCTCACATAACATGGATAATGGAGAGAAAAGAAATAAAAACCTGTTCCACTTTGAGATAATGGGCTAGCTCCTGTCCCCTGATGACAAAATCCACATATTCCACCTCCTCTGGGTCAATGGTGGCCAGGGTGTCCAGCCATGTATCTTCTACTAATCCCATCTAACAAGAGAGACAGGACTGAATGGTCATTCCCAAATTTCAAATTCGGATCTGTCAAAAAAGTAGGAATTAATAAATAAAAAAAGAATTACACATTCTTACAAGGCCAATTTTGTGACCCTGATGGATGATGATATGTGTGATGTGACCCCCAGCCAACGGTTTACTTGTTTCCAGATCAATGACATTTGACATGAGCCATGGGAAGTTGGTTCTCTCCACAAAGTTCACCAGGGTCTCCAGACCAAAATCTCAAGAAGGAAGATTTCTTTAAAAGATCTGTACATATCTGAATTTAAAATATTTGTGATGAAAACACCCACCAAAATCATGGTTTCCAAAGCAGGCACAGTCCACATTGGCAGCCTGAAGGACTGGCAACATCTGCTCTCCTTTTATGTAAGTGCTCACTGTGAAATGGGCAGGCAATGATCCACCAAGAATAAGCAAAAGGCTCAGACTTATATAATGGGATAACTAGCACTACAATGCAACATCAGTTGAGTTATGCCTGTCCTTGCATCTTTATGACTCCAGATGAACAAGAACATTCATGTGTTGATGAATCAAAGATATAGTTTGGAACATACTGAGCGAGGGAGCAAGGACATCCCCGCTGAAGAGGACGAGGGGGCTCAGTTCAGAGAAGGAATCAAGAGCCGAAATGAAGCGACTTGCCCCTCCCACTGGTTCATCAGAGAATCCTTCAATATTGTAAACATCATTGAAGTGGAGGATTGTGATGGATTCACGATGTGCACTGTAATCTCCCATTCGAGGAACTGTAATTGACAGTGTCCCCCTAAGCCAGCTTGGCATAGACAAAGACCGTGTGGATGGCAAATGGAACTTCTCCTGGAATCCACTCTGTGAACAAGCAAAGATCCAATATCACTTTTAAGGCAATTAGGCAATAAACTCATGCTTGGAAACCAAACTCTCATTAGGTTAAGCCTATATTATAGTATTCCAGGCCCTTCTCTAAAGAAGCAGTAACTACCCAGGTAACACATCCATGTGGAAACAACATTGAAACAGTGTTTCATGGCAACATTTATAATGCTGAAACAACATTGAGGTACCACATTGATTCAATGAGAAGATGTCATTTTTGTCAACATTGTATCAACACTCCTTGTTAATGTTGAAACAATATTAATGGCAACATTCATTCAATATGATTTCCACCTTGCATCAACATTCCTCAATTAGTCCCTGGTAATTAGGTTCCTCCATGGATCTAAGTAGAGGGAAATTGATCAAAATGAGTTGCATGCCCTATGGATGATGAACTATTGGGTTGGAAAGAAAGTCTTGCAACACTGCGCAAATTTTTCAAAATTTTATAACTTTATTGAAATGCAATTTCAGTCTACAGTGTAATGACCATTGTTGTCTATGACATGTTCCCAACGCACGGGTAACTGCTCGATGCCCTTTGCCCAGAACTCTGGCGATTGCGAAGCGAAGAAACGGCCGACATCATTTTCGAGCTGTGCTCGATCGTCGAAGGCCTCGTCCCGCAGGTGATTCTTGAGGGCCCGGAACAAGTGATAGTCGGAAGGGGCCAAGTCCGGAGAATACGCTGGATGGNGCAATCAGAACATCTTAATTCCACATTTCTCTAATATATGTGTTCATTAATTATGTAATAAAAAGGGGAAAGTGGGAAGAAAACGCATTAATGGAAGGTGACAGATCCATAATTGCATTAGGAGGCTACAGAGGAACATGGATACCATCTAGTGAGGGCTCTTCGTACTTCATTTTGATCGTGCCTAGAATACACTACCCTGGTAACATAATGTCCATAAAAGGATGCAAGACGACTTGGCCATGACCATAGGATAATTGGAAATGGTTTATATATTTGTTTCCAAACTAAAAAGATATTCAATATTCAAATACATGATAATAGATGGCAGCAACTCAATAGTTGAGGAGTCTCATTTTTTCAACATTGAAACCATGTTGTGGTAAGTTGATAGTACTTCGAAAACCTATTGGAGAGGTCCAACTCTTCATCATTTTAAGAGGGGTTAACAATGCCACATCTAAGAAATGTAATCCAAATATTCCTCAATTGGAATCCACAATGTGATGTGACAACATTCTATCAACATTGAAACAATGTTCACCTTCAACCCTCAACATTCGCACACTCAATCCACATTCAATCAATGTTGATTCAATGTTCTGTGTTACCTGGGTAAGGGGGAGTGAGGACGTAGGGAAGAACAGCCCGGGCAGCTCCTATATTTCAAAACTTTCTTCCTCCAAGTACCAAGTGCTGACAAGCGTAGATTATACCACTATTCACTCAGTAGAGCCTCTTTCATGAAATGGTCTGATTACTTTTTGCAATTTCACCCTGGAACGAGAGTAAAAAGCCAGAAAGTGATGGACACATTGATTGATGGACACACACACAACCCTCAGAGAGGGTATTCCGAGATGGAATCTGGTGAAGGTATCGACAGAATTGGAATACTCTGCTCTAACAGAATTAGGGAGGATTTCTTGATACGTTTCTTGAGAAGCGAGTAATTCCGAGGGATCATTCAATATTCGCAATTTCGTGTTTAATTTAAAGTACATTTTGATGAAAATCTGGAAAATGCTCCGAAGAAAAGTCATAAAAATTTCCATGAGACTCACCCAGACGATGATCTAACTTTGGTATTTAGCGTTTTTGCGAAATGAATCTGTGACCGGATCGGCAGCCTAATAAGCACATTTGAAATTTGTGCATCTCTCAATAAATCGCATGTTTCATCTTTGACCGATGATACAAGGACGTATTGTTGGTATTCAATTCAATGAGCGATGTCTCAGCTGACCGAGAGCGTTGATTTCACTTCTCTTAAGCAAAGGGTTTGGGAGTTATGGCGATTTTAGCATAACCTAGTTAAAGGCCAAAGAACGAACTTTAGCGAAACTGTAGGTAGGTCACTCTTTCCACTCCTCGTGAGGTCCCCTACAATAGTGATAGGCTAAATTTCAAATCCCAGACCTTCGATTTTTGAGTTCCTTCCTACATGAAGAACCATGAACTGTAGGGTAAAACTACCAATGTTCGGACAGTTAAGCTAGCCGAGCTTCATTATTCACTCGTTCTATCTCAATGGCTGGAAGCCATGGAATGGCTCAAAGGCTGGAAACCTCATTTTTTGTTCCTGGGAGCACGACACGAGGAGGTATAAGTGCTACAAAGGTGCTGTCCTTCCTAGCATTATGACTTCTGATATTGCCTATAATGTGATGTCCGAACTTAAATGTGGAAAAAATTAAATTAGGACACTTTCATCTTAGTTCGAACACCCCCGTTTTAAAGTCTCAATGAGGCTTGAAACACTTGATTGTGATGCAAACTCGCTCTCGAAGTATAGGACCTTTTTTCAATATTCTAGTACAGGAAGATTTTGATTGAGTGAGTGAGCGACTGACTTTCATTCTGTATTCTAGATGAGATAGAAAGATCAAACTTGGTACTCGAAAAGCTCTGATTATGCGGATTTCTGGTGGGGGTTTTTTTTGGAGAGGGGCATACTTTTTTGCACTAACAAAACGGAGAAACAGAAACTAAAACTTAGCATCGGTACTTATTGAGAAGCAGATTCCAGGCAAAAAAAATGATTTTGGGATGCGTTGCCTGAGGGCACATTTTGGAATGGACCTTTCCAAAAAAAGAATACTCCTTCGCCTGCTTCACCCAGATCATCTTCAGGTGCTGTTCCCAGGGGCCTGTTCCTCGCCTCTGCTATACTTAAATCTAAATCTAAAAGCAGTCTAAAAGCAAAAAGTATATTCTTCGCCCTGACCCTTTAGACTAAGATAAAGCCTAAGATTTAGATTTAGATTTAAGTTTAGCAGAGGCGAGGAACGGGCCTCAGATATGAACTGCGATTGCTTTTGATCGATTTTTATGAAGTCAGGCCGTCCCAAGTGGGTAGTTATCTCATGAGCTCTCGAGGCTCTGAAACATTTAGAGGACTGCGTCGCTTAGTAATGAAGTTGACGGTTCAGCCAGCTTCTTCGTATTCGGTTCGATTTTGATTGGAGCGGCGACGACAGCGGTGTCGCTAGCATATTCTAGCTTACACTTGTGCTTAAAGCGTCAGTACAGCACATAAGTGACTCGTCTGAACTTCCATCTGACAGGGGTTTCGGCGATGGACTCCCAGGATTCTCGGACGCTTTTCTTCGGATCGCCTGACTGTCGTTGGAGATGTCCCACGCCGTAAAAGTCGGGATTCCGAACATGCTCTCGTTCGTTTCCCTCTAGGCGAAGTCCACCGACGACGTCGATGATCCCTTGTGGTAGGCGTAAGGGCTACGGCGGAGTCTCCTTCCGCGTCCTTGGATATCGATGGATGCGGTTCATCAGTTCATAGTTTAGACCAGCGGTTCTCAAACTGTGGGTCGCGACCCCCATTAATAATACTGGTTTTGTGGCCTAGGGATGAAGTTTTGGGGTACCTTTTGCATCAAAATACCTTTGTGAATCTATATTTTCTTCTTTGGTGGTCATCAAAAGCAAATCTAGCAATCGAATGTTGAAGTTGAAAGTTGAAGGTGACCTGTGGATGAGAATCAGCAGAATGCGTTTGGATTGCATTTTCTCAGCAAAGCAAGCACACCCATCGCACTGAATAATGATGTTTTCAATGCTTTTCACGTTTAAAAATACATTTAAACGAGAGTTACATTGCGTTTTCATTTCACTTTAATGAGCAGCCTAGGATGCTGATCCCATCAAGGTTTCTTTTTTAAATACAATGTACTGGATTTCTCTGGTCGGGGTCGCAAGCTTTTGGCTTCCGTGAAACGGGGTCATGGATCCTAAAAGTTTGGGAAACGCTGGTTTAGACAATTCATTTTGATGGATTTAGAGGCCGTGCGGGTGGTTTCTTCGGAGTTCAATCGTTACGGGCAATTCGCGAGGTTTTCGATGAGAAATTCGGCGGCTCACCTCGGGAACTGTGCGCGAATTCCTTGGACCCACTCGTACAGGGTGGCCCAAAAGCCAGGATCAATAGTGATTTCACCATTGCGATTTATAAACTGGTTGAATGGCCACCTAGGTCACCGGACCTCACGCCACTCGACTTCTTTCTGTTCAACTTTCTAAAATCGACCTCTATGTTGAACGTCCAGAACTATGAAAGAGTTGGAAATGTACCCAAACAGCATGTTTATGTTAATTTTACGTAAAATGAATGTAAAGTTTTTGTCCATTTTATATCATTTTTACGCAAACCACTGTCAAGAAAATGTCAACATGTTTGCAGAAATGTCACCTCTGTGGTACGTAAACGGTGATATAAAATTAACGTCAATTTTACGCAAAATTGGCATTCCCGTTTGCATTCCAAACAGCATGTTTACGTTCATTTCACGTAAGATTTATGTTAATTTCCCCCTGGCATTCATGCGTATTTAAGGAGTCAATCAGTCCCAGTGAAGAGAATTGAAATACCGAACCTCCTATTCCTTTACGTTCTTCAGAACTCTAGGGGAGGATTTCTTGATACGTTTCTTGAGAAGCGAGTAATTCCGAGGGATCATTCAATATTCGCAATTTCGTGTTTAATTTAAAGTACATTTTGATGAAAATCTGGAAAATGCTCCGAAGAAAAGTCAAACGCAAACCATTGTCAAGAAAATGTCAACATGTTTGCAGAAATGTCACCTCTGTGATACGTAAACGGTGATATAAAATTAACGTAAATTTTGCGTAAAATTGACATTCCCTTTTGCATTCCAAACAGCATGTTTACATTCATTTTGCGTAAGATTTATGTTAATTTTTGCCTGGTATTCATGCGCATTTAAGGAGTCAATCAGTCCCAGTGAAGAGAATTGATAT